AGTAATGATAAAATGTAACCCAGATCTGGCCTTAAAAAACAAAGTCTTCAGAAACAAGCCAAACTATTTCAATTATTCAAATCTTGAACTGAAAAAGCTCTTCAAGGTGTCAAGGCTTCATTAGCAGGGACTGCTTCTGAAAAGCAGTTTTCCAAGCAGCTGAGGGGGGCTGCCTATGTGCTTTGGCGGAACAAGCTCTGGGTGTTCATCTAAGTCTGACAAATAGTGGCCACTTACTCTGAAATGACGCAAAGATGTTTTCAGCTGTGAAAAAATGGGAATCAAACTACAGATCCCAGGCAGACAGAATGAGAAACTACAAGAACATTTTGAAAAATAACAAAAGTGTATAAAAGTGAGGCATCATATCTTCCTGGGAAGTAAATCACTGACCATCTGCATATCAGTAATTCAAAGGGGTCATCTGGGTCAAAAGATAAACGGTAAACTCTTAATTTTAAATTAATATTACATAAAAAAGCAAAAAGCCAAGAAAATTTTCTGTTCTACCTAACGGCCAGTTTTCTTAAAAAGTAAACAAACATAAATAAATAAAGGCAAACGCCCTCTCCCGTAACAATTGGTTTTTCATGTTTGAATTGGTTTGGGAAAATCAGTATTTGCTCCACGTTACAGGAAAGCACAGTATGAGAAGTGCTGTGGGTGCGGCTTGCAGAACACTGCCTTTCACGCCTTTTCCTCGCAGGATTCCACAGAGACACACCAATGCAACACGAGTCTTGGGGTAAGATTCCAAATCATCTTCACTATGTTCAAATGGGAACGGGCGGAAGCCGCCGCCGTTTACAATGCCCGCGACTGTCCCTGGGCTGTGAAATCCCAGCCGCGTCTCCCCGGTGCTGACTGCCTTTAACAGTCTCTCTACGCGAACCTGTGCCCCAACGCCGGCAAAGGCGCTTTCCACACCGACCGTGAAGAGTTCTGACATTTAAAGCACAAAGCTGCAACGCAAGCAGTGGGCGAGAAAGGCGTTCAAATAGAGCGCTAGCAAGCAAGGCTTTGTACGACCCAGGCACGTGGGGTGCACGCGACCCGGCAGGTCCCTTCGCCGTAGGCAAGGGGACAGATGCTCAGGCGACTCTTTCTGGGGCGCTGCAGGGGCCAAACCCGAACTGCCCAGCCCTCCCCGTGAGTCATCATCAGCCGCCGGGCGAGGAGGAAAGGTAAGCGCAGCAGGAAGACGCCCCCCACCCCGCTTCCTTCCAAACTAAGGTAGGATTACTTTCCAGCACGGAGCACACAAGGGCACTTGTCACGGCCCCAAGGCCTGAGAATCGTCGCCAGGGTCAAGGGTAGGGTGACCGCAGGGTCATCCGGGCAGAGGACGGAGGCAGGGGGCGGCTGAGGCGGGTAGGAGCCGCGGTCGGGTGGGCACGTACCGGAGGTCAGAGCGTGGGTGATGGCGGTGCCCTGGCCCTCGGCGGCGCTCGGCAGCAGCAGCATGATGGCGCTGCGGCTCGCCCCGCGGGCGCAGCGGCTCACGTCCCGGGCGGAGGGCACTTGGCGTCCCCTCCAGTTCTACCTCCCCGTCCGAGCCTCGCGCCTTGGCTCCACGACGCCCACGAACCGGCGCATGGAGACGACCAGTAAGCACTTCCGGGATGGAGCTTTCGTGGTGCGAACGCCAGTCCCACCCCCGCTCGCCCCCGCCAACGTGTGCGGCAGCCTACTTCCTCCGCTGACTCAGATCCGGCCGGAGACCGAGACGCCAGAAAGAATGGTTCCTAGACTCATTAGTTCCCCTTTAAAAGGAGTTTGTTTTCCTGGTCCAGGTGAAATAAGTTAAGAACATTGAAAAGCAGTTCCTTCTATATTCTTCTTAAGTTTATGCTACTTAATGTGTCAGGCTGAACTTAATCACCGAGTTTCCAATTAGCTCCACTTGTATAAATAAAAAATTAAAGGAGTATATGAACTAATATTGAGAGTAACTAGTATAGTGTGTGTGTGTCTAGAGAGAATTACGTGATGGGTTTGTGTTTGCCTTGATAATAATAATAATAGCAGCTAACATTTGCTGTGCTATGATTAATTAACCCACATTATCTCTTTTAGTACTAATTTGGAGAAGAAATCTCTCTGTTATTGGATTCGATTCCTAGGCCAGCAATATTTTTATCCTCCTCAAACTGAATGGAGTTTTTTTTTTTTTTCAAGATAGTTCCAATTACAGGACTCTGGAATTTAACTGTTTAGTATATATATATGTTTAGTATATTTAACTGTTTATGTATAGTAATGCAATTGTATTCTTACTAACTGCTTGCTTTAGGATGCAGGTAGAAAGCAAAAATTAGCAAAAGGAAACCAGTGGGTGAAGGCTCATCTCCAACAGTAATATCTGGAACAGATGGGGGCAAAAACAGACTTGATGTGCAGTCTTCCGCAAGGGCACCAGAACTTAGCAAATTATTCTCTAGGTCTTACATTTTCACTGTTAAATACATTGAACAGGTTGGTGGGCTGTATGCACGACTATTACTTCAGAATTGCTGTTTAAAATGGAAATAATCAGCACCCACAAACCTCTTCCTCTTTTCTCTATTATGCAGCCACTGCTAACACCTGTTCTAAGGTGCAAACCTGACTCCATTTTTGTAATCTTAATTTTTTCCCACACTGCTTCACATCCATTTTGACTTTCATTTCTAAAGTTGATGAGGTTTTTGTTTTAAAATTGTAATAAAATACACATAACATGAAATATACTGTGAAATATACTATCTTTACCATGTTAAAGTACAGTTCATTAGCATTAAGTATTCTTGTTGTGCAACCAATTTTCAGAGCACTTTTTCCTTGCAAAACAAACTCTAAACTCAGTGAACACACTCTTATTCTTCTCTTCTTTCAGCCACAGGCAACCACAATTCTGTCTCTTTGAATTTGACTACTCCAGGTCAAATTCATATAAATGGCATCATACAGTATTTGACTTTTTGTAACTGGCTTACTCATTTAGTTCAGTGTCCTCAAGGTACATCTATGTTGTAATGAAAAGTTAAAATTGTATATGTGCGGGTGTAAAAAGTTAAGCTTAAGCTTACAGGTTTAAACCTTCCTGGTACAGCTGTAAAAATAAGACAGAGTGAAGTAGCACCTTGACAGTAGGGACTCCATTTTGGAGCACTTGAGACTCCATTCTGAGAAAGCACCCCCCCCCCCCCCACCGTGAGACTCTGGTCTGAAACTATGATCTCAAATAGTCAGACAATAGCAGCGCACTACATCACCCTTGGCAGAGCACAAAAACCCCCTAGCATGATTGCTCAAGCTTAAAAGTAGAAAGGTTGCACCTGGGTTACCTGGGCTAATAATAAAGATGTGATTTGTCTGTGTCTTACATTAATGTCAAGTCCTAATTGCTAATTGTAATATTGTAACTGGTATTGTCAGGATTATGATGAATATTAATTTCACTTAGGTTTTAGGTTATGTTGACCCCAGTAACCATATACTCTCTTTTGATTTTATGTACTCTCTTTTGATTTTAGCAACTGTGTATAGCAACCGTGCATAGCAACCATGTATTCCCCCCCTTCCCGGTTTTGCGGTTTTTGCCTTTATAAACTCTAACATTTGGTTATTCGGGGCTGCTCTGTTCATGTATGATCAGACAGCCCCAGCATGCTGGATAATCAATAAATCTTTAACCCTTTGCTGGTTGCATGAGAGAAAGGTCTCTTGGAGTCGTTCCTCGGGCGGTGGACTTTTTCGGACTCTTAACAGTAATATGGATCAGAATTATTGCTTTTAAAAAATGTTATTTTTTATTTGATAAGTAAAGTAACAGGGAGAGGCAGGGACAGAGAAAGGTCTTCTAGCTGTTGGTTCATTCCACAAATGGCTGCAACAAGTAGAGCTGAGCTGATCTGGAGCCAGGAGCCAGGAACTTCTTCCAGGTCTTCCAAATGGGTATGGGGCCCAAACACTTGGGCCATCTTCCACTGCTTTCCCAGGCCATAACAGAGAGCTGGATGGGAAGAGGAGCAGCCAGGACTAGAACTGGCACCCATATGGGATGCCAGCACAGCAGGCGGAGGCTTTGCCTACTGTGCCATAATGCTGGTAGTTTTTAAGGCAGAATAATACCCCCTTGTAGGAGTGTATTGTATTTTGTTTATTCATTCATATGCAGATGGGAAATTGGGTTGTGTCCAACTTTTGTTATATTGTGAATACTGCTGGTTGAACAGAGGGTGCACACCTCTGAGACCTTGTTTTCAGAATTTCTAGGTTTTATGGAAGTTCTAAATTTTGAGGAGCCACCAGAGTCTTTTTCACAGCAGTTAAACTATTTTACATTTCCACATCCAGTGCACGAGTTCCATTTTTACCTTATGTTCACCAACACATATTTCCTGTTTTTGTTTTTTTTTTTTTGTAAATACTAGTCATCCTAAGTGGTATCAGGTGGCATCTAATTATGGTTGTGATTTGCATTTCCAGTAACAGTGATACTGAACACCTTTTCCTGTGTTTGTTGGCCATTTGTATATCTTCTTTGGGGGCAATGTCTGTTTAGGTTCTACGTTCATTTAAAAACAGCAGACTGTTGAGTTATAGGAGCTCTTTGTATATTCTAGATTTTAATTCCCTATCAGGAACGTATTTCCTTCACGCCACGTGGAGATCTCGCACTAGTAACTGTGTGTCTAATACGACAGGTCATTTACAGTGTTGACTCTTCACCTACGCAGTCCTGTGAGATGAAGACGAATGAAAGTTCAGATTGAGATTATCCACGGCTGCTCAGCCTATGGACTTAAACTCAAGAGTGTTGTGCCAGAGTGAGGCTCGGATTTGTCGCTCGGGAAGCCCTAAGGGCCAGAGACGGAGAGAGTAGAGGCTGGGATAGCTCGCGGTCTCCTAACAACACTTGAGACGCCACGCCGGGGTCTGTCCAGGCCCTCTTCCGCCTTGGGCGCCGTGAAAAGGGGCCCCCCCGCGGAGCTCTACTTCCGGTAGGGGAAGGGAAGAAGGGAAGCGCCACCGGAAGCCAGGAAGGTGCTGTGTAATCTCCAAGGAGCCGAGGCACCTGGATCTCCCAAAATGCCGGATTACCTCGGGGCCGACCAGCGGAAAACCAAAGAGGATGAGAAAGACGACAAGCCCATCCGAGGTGAGTTCATGTGGGCAGGCGCCCGGGCGGGACCAGCGTTGGCCCGGGAGAGGGGCTGCCCTGCCGAATTCCCCGCTCGGTGCCCTGGCCCGCCTTGCTGCTCGGGATTAGCGCCGGGCGGCTGCCAGGTTGAGCTGCCGGCCCTCTCTGGCTTGCTCACCCCATTCCAAGGCCTACATTCATCTGCGGCTGACCAAAATTGTTGCTCGGCCTTCCAGGTCCCAGAAAGTTCCGGTGCCCGGCGGTGCTCCGTCACCTGATGCCGGTTCCTGGCCGCCCCCGGCCGCAGCTGGGGCAGCGGGAATCCCGAGACGTTGTGTGTCCTTCTCCTCCTTCTGTTTATTGCACTAGGTTACGGATGCACAAGGATCAAAACTCAAGAGGCAGCAAAGATACGTTTGAGAAGTTTCCAATCTTTGGCTCCAGCCAAAAAAGCAGCTAATGTGGCCATTTTGTGTTGTCTTTGTATATAGACATTTTCTGCGGATTTGCAAGCAAGTCTGCTTATGTATCCCTCGTTTGCATAAACGTAGCGTGCTGTGCAGTGCAGTGACTTCTTGCTTGTCTTGAGTACTTGGTGCAGTCCCTTTCTTCCGGTCTCTCTGCTCAGGGGAGCACAAAGCCACTCGTTCTCTTCACGTCTCTGTCCTTTTCCCATTTTTTTGGTTTCAACCTGGCCGTGGAGGAAGTGCCATCAATCCCGTCCCGTGTCCCTGACCCTGTCCCTTCCTCCTCTTTTACTTTGTTTCATCAGCCACCACTTGTGTTTGTTTTCCTATGGAATTATCCCATTTGTTCCTCTAATTATGCCAGGGTCCATTTTATTTTAAAAACACACGCATTTAGGACAGTCTTTCCACTCTCCTACCCTCGCAAGCCGCAGTCCAATTTTGTTTTTCTACAGCCTAAAGGTGGCTGGAAAGAACAGGCTTGCATGTTAGGCTTAGGTTTGAATCTTGGCTTTGCTTCTCACTGGCTGTGTGATATTGGGCAAGTCACTTACATTCTGTGAAGCTCCGTTTTTCTTGTGCGTAACGTGGAAGTAATTGTATTCCTTTTCTAGGCTTAGAAACCTGTACGATTAATTAATGCATGTCTGTCTCATCACAGTGTCTCCATGGCACCTGGTATTGCTATTAAGCCCACTGTGCATTTCTTGATTGCTTATTTCACTTTTAAGCCCTTTGCACTTAGGTTGCTGACCTTATAAATTGTTTAAAATGATCAGTGGTGTCTTCCTATTTAGTATTCTGAACAGCAAAGCTTGTGGGTTTTTGTTTTCCCCTTTCTCCACATGTTCAGCTGATCTTCACGGGGCTGACACTGTGGAAGCTGTTACCTCCCATCTTTGTTTCTCTTACTGAACCTGCCTGCTTACCTTTCTTTGCCTTTTCACTTCTTGTCATTGGGTCCTCGCGTAGCTGCGTTAAGGGTTTGTTTTTGTGGCTTCCCTCCACTCTCATGTTAGATTGTCTTCCCGCTCTATGTATAATCAATCTTTTTATCTTCAGGCTAGCACCTGACTTCTGGAGCCTGATTTGTTTCTGCTTTTATTATTATTATTGGTTTGATAAAGAGACAGAGACAGAGATCTCCTGTGTGCTGGTTCATTCCTCAGATGCCCGTAGCAGCTGGGAACTCCACCTGGGTCTCTCTTTGCTTTTCAAATAATGGGCGCCGTTTGGAGACCCAGCTGCTCCAATTCCAGTCCAGCTCTCTGCTATGGCCTGGGAAAGCAGTAGAAGATGGCCCAAGCCCTTGGGCCCCTGCGCCCACGTGGGAGACCCGGAAGAAGCTCCTGGCTTCAGATTGGTGCAGCTCCGCTCCTGCCTTTGTGGCCAACTGGGGAGTGAACCATCGGATGGAAGATCTCTCTCTCTCTGCCTCTTCTCTCTCTGTGTAACTCTTTCAAATAAATAAATCTTAAAAAAGAAAAAATATTTTAAAAATAAAAATTTTGTATGAAAACAAATGATATACACATTCTATGTGTTCTTTTTAGTATATCTATTTCACTTAATAGTTCTTAGATAGTTTTCCATAGGTGCTGTTATTTTTAATGGTTACATTGTATTTCATTGTAATGAATATAGTTAATGTATTTAACCGAAGGTCCTTAATGGGTATGTTTTAGATATGTACTTTATAATGCATATAAAATATGCAGTCATATACATTATATACTCTTAAAGTTCTCCTTCCCAAAATTAGATTCGTTGAGTTGAGGAAATACTTGATTGTCTGTGTGTCATCATAGTTTTGCTCCAGTTTTGGGACTCATTTGAAACAATTTGAAGTGAACAGAAAAGTTGGTCTGCTCCAGTTCCTTTGTGATCTCATGTGTTACTTCCTCTTTCAGCTCTGGATGAGGGGGACATTGCCTTGCTGAAAACTTACGTAAGTACTTGCGGAGTCTACAAAGTGTAGACGTTTGATATTGTCTTTCCAAGATAGACAAGAATGTCCAGCAGTCCATATTAATCTCACTGAGAAAATGTTTTCCTAAAGTTTTCTTTCTGGAGTAGATCATTAAGTGTTCAGCTTGTCTAAGCTTATCCATTATTTTTATAATATTTGTTATTGAAGTATGGTACTATATGAAAGCTATTTCAAATAGTTTACACAAATATTCACTGTATTTAAAACGTATGCAGTTGAATTAGATGTAAAATGTAAAGTTTTAGTGCATAGAAATAAGTCTGGTTTTGCATGATTTTAATTTGTTGTCTTATATAATGGTGGGAAGTGTTGGTTCAGGAATTGCAAGCTTTGGGAAATAATCGCCATTAAGGTTGTGACTTAAAATTTCTGTCTAGTTTAATAAGTTGTTGTTATCCTGATGTTCAACTGATCTTCATCACCTAGGGTCAGAGTACCTACTCCAGGCAGATCAAACAGGTTGAGGATGACATTCAACAGCTTCTCAAGAAAATTAATGAGCTCACTGGTATTTATTTTTTTAATTTTTATTTCCTCTTTACATGTTATATGTTCGTTGTGTCAAAAGACTTTACATAAATTTTATGCCTTCATGAGTTACAGATTTTAAAAATGATCTGTTAAGAAATAGTCTCGGCCGGCGCCGCGGCTCACTAGGCTAATCCTCCACCTTGCGGCGCCGGCACACCGGGTTCTAGTCCCGGTCGGGGCGCTGGATTCTGTCCCAGTTGCCCCTCTTCCAGGCCAGCTCTCTGCTGTGGCCAGGGAGTGCAGTGGAGGATGGCCCAAGTGCTTGGGCCCTGCACCCCATGGGAGACCAGGATAAGCACCTGGCTCCTGCCTTCGGATCAGCGCGGTGCACCGGCCGCGGCAGCCATTGGAGGGTGAACCAACGGCTAAAGGAAGACCTTTCTCTCTGTGTCTCTCTCTCACTGTCCACTCTGCCTGTCAAAAAACAAAATAAAACAAAACAAAAAAACGAAATAGTCTCATTTAATCTCTGCTTTTCAGAACCAGGTTTAAAGCTTGTACAATAAAGAAACAACATGCTTCTCTAAGCGAGTAATGCTTCAGTTGGTCAAAGCCCTGTTCAGTAAAGGCCGAGTTAGAATTGTTAATTGAATACAATTTTGATCTCACATAGTATTGCTTTAAGTAAGTGGATAGTTAATTGACAGTTGGAAATTTTCTTCTTGAGAACTCTAATGTGAAGTTCTACTGTATTTGGCCCACATAAAACATAACAAATATGTCCATAGATTTAGCCTGATGATCACTTTAGGGCCAAGCTTTTCAGTGTGAGTGATTCTGCCCCTCCAGGGGACTTTCAGAAATGTCTAGAGAGGTTTTTGATCCTCCTCACTTGAGGGAGAGTGGTTCTAGTGGCATCTAGTGGCCAGAGTCAGGGATGCTACTAATTGCCTTACAGTGTGTACACAGTCCCCACAGCAAAGAATTAGTCCAGAATACCAGCAGTGCTGAGGCTGACGAAGCTGATGGCAGGGCGATGCGTTATGTTTCACTGGATTTTGTCATCTTTCTCTGTGTAGGTATTAAAGAGTCTGACACTGGCCTGGCCCCACCAGCACTATGGGATTTGGCTGCAGATAAGCAAACGCTCCAGAGTGAACAGCCTTTGCAGGTTGCACGGTAGGCATAGCTCTCTGTGGACATTTATTTTTATCTGTATTTTCAAGCACTTTTTAATGTCTTGGGGATAACATGGAAATTTTATAAAGACTCTGTATTGCAAATTCCAGGTAAATAAAGCCATCTGCTGTGGTTCAAACTACACAGAGGCATAATTCTCAGACTGGAAAGATACAAAAAGATAGAGAGCAAAATATGAAAACCTTTTCTCGCCTTTGCTCTCCCTTTGTCCCTTCTTTGGACGTAGGCACCAGAGATTGGTCCTCCTAGTTCTTATTGTGTGTCTTCATGCGTGTGTTAGCATGCAAAGAAACAGTGTAAGTGCTTTTGGACATAATTATGTGTTTCAGACATCTGTCATTGTCTTCAGTATAGGTGTACCTCTTTATTTCCTTTTTTTATTTAAGTTTTGTGATAAATATAGGTTAAGCTGTTGGCAATTTGTGTTATTCACAGTGCTGTAGTGGACATTCATCTTCAGTATCTATGGGCATACATTTCTGTAGGATAGCTCACTAGCACTGGCATCATAGGGTCAGAGGCGTTTATAATTTTGAAAATCTGAAAACAAGTGACTTGACCACTTTAAGCACAAGGGGGCAAATGCCTGTTTGAGCAACAGAAGATACATGATAATCAAATTTTATACTTTTACCAATAAGGAGAAAAATATTTCATTTTAATCTGTGCTATACTGATCCCCAGTATAGCTACTTATCCTTATTAAGAATCGGTATTTCTTTGCTATTCATGTTTTGTTGGGTTGTTTCTTAGAATCATTTCATATATTGTACATATTACTCTTAACTATGCTACAAATATTTGTCCCCATTCTATTATGTGACTTCTTGATACCTTTTGTTGCACTACTTTTTAAAATTTTTAGTAGGCAAAATGTAACAATGTTTTCACCATACCTTTTGGATATTAACATTGATGAGAAAAGCCCAGTCGACTGTAGTCATTCTCCCGAATTTTATCCTAATGTTTAAAAACTGGTTTTTATTTTAATGTGATCTTCAGCACAGCTAAAGATTATTTTTCTTTGTTCCTATCTGTCTCCCCATCTCTCTTTCCATCTTTTGTTTTTCATTCATGCATGTTTTAGTTTTATCAGGGCTTTAAAGAGTTGTTACACCACTTGGGAAACCTGGGTGGGGTTCTGGTGTTCCTGGCTTTGGCCTGCCCCAGCTCTGGCTGTTGTGGGAATTTGGGAAGGGAACTAAAGGATAGAAGATTTCTGTCTCTCTTTCTCTGTCATTGCCTTTCAAATGAATGAAAATTTAATAGAAAGAAGTTGTTACAGTACCAGCTCCTCTTCACTAGAGATTCCAGTTTCACACTCAGCTGCTGATTGCAGTTTCTATCTTCATGATTCTAATGGCCATTGCTGTGTCTTGGGTAGTAGAGATTGTTCCTCCTTGATAATTTTTAGTTTTAGGTAGTATCTGTTGGCTCTTCACTGTGGAAGGTGAGGACTTTGTGGTTTGTTTCCTATGCCTTCCTTCCAAAGACATCCTGTTCCTATCTGTTTAATTTTAATTTCCTGTCCAGTTTAATTTTATGTTTATATAATTATGGCTGTGCACAAACCCTGTTACCCTGTTAGGGTTGGCACAAAGAACAAGTGGTAAACTGATTTCTTTTCTTGTACCTTTTTTTCTCTGTTGTTAACTGTCTTGTTTCTTCACTTGCCTCATTTTCTCTGTGTATTACCAACTCAGCTCAGGTTGTTTTTTGGTTGTCTAGATTGCTGTCCCTTTGCAGATATGTCTGATCTGTTGGGTTCTCTCTTGGGTCCATCTGGAAGTTGAGGTCTATTTTCTAAACTGTGAATTGAAGAATTCTCATCTCTGTAGATAGTGCTGGCAGGGTCTGTCAGATAAAGTAGTGATAATTCTTTGTGTGTGTGTATGAGTCTTCCTGGGAGAGCATGACTGGTGATGGAAGAGGGACCTGTCACTGCAAAGCCAAGTGTTCCTCCCCGCTGCTCAGCCCCACCTATGTGCGCGCTCCAGAGACTGTCTTCCAGTCCTCTTTTTGTTACTGTGGCTTGTGTCACAGTTTTCTAGCATGAGTATTTTTCTTTAGTAGACAGGTAACTAAAGGAGACAAAAGCAAGCTCTGGCTTACATGGTGTTAACAATTCACTCAGAAAGCAAATACATTCAAGTTAAAAATAGCAACATTAAAAATGGATTTGAAGTACAAACTCTGAGAAGAAAAAAACCACACCGATTGCTGAATCTGATGTAAGACAAGATGACTGCTGCTTACAGGGAAAATAAAAAGGAGAACAACTTAATAAATAAAGGTGGATCATTATAGGGGGATAGCTATGAACATCAAGGAATTAGGGAGCTTCTTAATGATGAAATATGCGGGTATACTTATCCAGGTGAAGGCATCTTTTGAAAATTTTGTGGCGTTGCTGAAATTCAGTGGACCCTTGGGGTTGAGCATAGAGAGGAATCTGTAACGGCGGCCCATTTCTGGAGTTCTAGTGTACACCTGCTCATCAGTATACTGCATGCCCAGGAGAGAGTCCAGTTACTTGAATTCATCATTAGTGGTTTAGGTTCCCCACTCTAATCAAGCCTTTTGCTGTGTTAGGTGTACAAAGATAATCAATGCTGATTCGGAGGACCCGAAATACATTATCAACGTGAAGCAGTTTGCCAAGTTTGTGGTGGACCTTAGTGATCAGGTGGCACCCACTGACATCGAAGAAGGAATGAGAGTTGGGTAAGATTCCTACTGACACTCAATACTCTTCTTTGATTTAAGATAGCATGTCGCATGCACGTCCTTGGCTTTGCTGTGAGGGAATGAACTGAGTGCCGCAGCATACCGAGGGACAGCCTAGTTGATTTGCACATTTTTCTTCTGCATCTACTTTTAACCCCTGACCAGCTTCTCCTTATCCCGCCCCTACTGTTTTTGAGAGTGGCTTTCAACTATCATAATCAAAGTAAGTGCAGAATTTGAGTTTACCAGTCCATTTACGGTAAAAACGGTATAGGTAGAGGAAGTACTTGATTTAATAAGGTGATGATGTATAGAATATGTGAGAATTCACTTAGTAAATTAAAAAAAAATCTCCCTCCCCTTGGTTCAAGATTTTTGTGTAGGCTGCTGACTTAGTGTCATAATATTCTCCTGGTTTCTCTTTGTATTAGTTTGGGGGACTTTGTGTCTTTCTCTTATTTAAAATATGATTTTGAAGACTAACCATAAAAATACTTTGAAAGCCTATAGACAGTAATGTGTGTTTTTTAACCTCCTTAGTGTGGACAGAAATAAGTATCAAATTCACATCCCACTGCCTCCTAAGATTGATCCAACCGTTACCATGATGCAGGTAAGAAGCTATGGGAGGGAATGAGATTGATCTTTTCATCTAATTATATCAATCTCCAAAAATGTTTTGAGGTTTTCCGTTTATAAACCGCTAATAAGTGGGTTTGTATCAGAGTTGCCAAAACTTTTTGAACAATTTTTCAGAAGAAAATTTTACTAGTTTGTCTCCCACTTATTAGCAAGCATCCTAACAAGTAATGTGCCAAGTAGTTTTAGACATTGATAAATGTATTTTTTAATTTATTTTTTTTTAAGTCTTATTTGAAAGAGTGACAGAGATGGGGAAAGGATTTTTTGTTGTTGTTGTTGTTTTGTTTTAAGTTTGATTTTTTCCATTGCGGGGCATTGAGTCTACCGTACTGGGCTTTGACCAGCATTTAAAAGCCTGTGACTGAATATCGTACATTGTTATCTCAGGTGGAGGAAAAACCTGACGTCACATACAGTGACGTTGGTGGTTGCAAGGAACAGATTGAGAAGTTGCGAGAAGTGGTTGAAACCCCACTACTGCATGTAAGTAGCCGAGGGTTGGATTTCAATTTCTTTGTGTGAAGGTGGAACCGTCTGTTGTGTATTTAGCACTGGAATTGCTTGTGCATTAGATAGCTTTCACGTTTGATGTCCCCCTTGATGAAAACCTTGGATGGAAAGTGGAGGTGTGGAGAGTTGCTAAGTTTCAGAAAAGAACAAGCAAAGAGGATTGAGTGGTCAAGCATTTTTCAAAAAGGAAGAACTACTTAGAGTGACAAGGGCAGTTGAGGTGTGGCCTTTAGCAATATGCTAAATGTGTACAGACTTTTATAGAAGAAACCAGGTATTCTGATAACATCAAGGTGAAATGAGCTTAAATTGAATGAAGTTAAATTTGGGACAATAACAGACAACTAGGCTATTGAAGACCAGGTAATACTCTCCAACTTGAAACACTGATTTTTCAAAATTAGGAAATTGTTAAGATTGGGTTAGTAGAAACACTTCTAAAAGTTGTTCAGCCTTGCCTGTTGAACTGGTTTAGTTTAGATCTTATGTCTTAGAATTAAGTTATTTTGATCGTGGCCTTAATGACTCTGGTTAAATATTTTGATATAGAAGTCGTCTTGTCAAAGAAGTGACAGGTGTAAAAGTTGTATCTCTTTCACAGCCAGAGAGGTTCGTGAACCTTGGCATTGAGCCGCCCAAGGGTGTGCTGCTCTTCGGTCCACCGGGTACAGGCAAGACGCTCTGTGCGCGGGCAGTTGCTAATCGGACTGATGCTTGCTTCATTCGAGTTATTGGATCTGAACTCGTGCAGAAGTACGTCGGTGAGGTAAATTTACCAAAAGCAAAGAATCTATAGCCTGTGAATGATTGGTAAAGTAGCACTGAAGTTAAAATGACAGTCCCACGTTGAAGGATAAAGACCTTCGACTTCTTGACTAATTGTTAATAATTTGGAAGCCCAGAGCTACCAACCTTCCTTTTTTGGTCATTTGGAAATAGACAGCCACTTAAAATTGTATCCACTTAAAGGATGGCATTTTCTTCAGATCTAATCTGGGAGGTAAATACTCTGGAGATCCCTGGGGAATGCATCCGGAAATGTGTGTTCGCTGCAGACACACTGTTTCCTGGTCTCATGAGAGAGAACATAGATTATGTGTCTGTGTGCCTATTCGGGGATTAATGATTAGCATACTTACAGGAAGAACTAGACAGGGAGCTGCAGGAGTTAAGATGAACATTCATTCTCTGCTAATAACAGATCAAAACCAGTGATTCAGAATTCCCAGGGATAGATCAGATGAGTTGATTTCCTCAAGTTGTACAGATTAGAATGCTGCCTTTATTTTATTTAAAAGCATTAATTTGACCTCTTGATCTCATTATAAATTAGAATCATGAAAATTGTTTTCAGGCTAAGATTTGCTGGACTAGGTAGAATATTGTTAGGAGTAAATATTGAAAAAGTTTGAAGCATCACTACTGTATTTTAAAAGATTTTAAAGTCAACTCTGAATTAACAGATACTTTATCTCATTAGGGGGCTCGGATGGTTCGTGAGCTCTTTGAAATGGCCAGGACAAAAAAAGCCTGTCTTATCTTCTTTGATGAAATCGATGCCATTGGAGGTATGAATAAGATTTTCGAGAACTGCTTGAGGACTGGGTTTAGTGAGGGCTCTGCAGTGATTATGTATTAGTTTTTCTGATACCTGAATCTTGCGCAAAATTTTAATTGCAGTCCAGTAGAAAACAAACATATAGTATTGCCTTCTTTAGGGGGAGAGAGAGGGAAAGAGACTGGCCGGGTGTTGCCGAGGTTGGAAATGATGCAGTTAATGCTGTCAAAGGCCATACTTTGGCTCCAGTCTAATGATAGCATGTTGTGACTCTGCAGTCATTTTCATAGCATCATTCAAGTAAGTCTCCTGCTGTCTGGGGGCTCCGAAGCTACAGCTTCCCAAATGCAGTGTGTATAAGACAGTCTAGTCGGGCACATGCAGGAAGAAAATACTAGAATTTCTTTGTATTTTTAATTTCAAAATTGTTTTTGGTATCTTAGTGTATACCAATACAACAGTGTGCATTTATCAATTTAAAAATACACTTGGAGGGTTTTGTTTTTCTCTTTTGGTTGAAATGAAAGGGAGACTAACATGTGCATAGAGTTTTCAAGTACATCCAGGTCAGCCTGATAGCAAGCTGATAAGGTTCTACAGTGTTAGGGCTTTAGCCATATTTTAAAGGACAGCTTTGGGAAATTTAGAATAGTCTGATAATTTCCTACATAAAAATCAAACATCATTATAGTGCAAAAATTTGCATGTTACTCTGTTGGCTTGTTAAGGTATGGACTGTATTAAACAATAGAGATGTTCTTAGTTGAGTTGGAAAAAAAACAAATTCCTTAGAGAAAACTGAAAAAAAAAAAAAACACTTAAATCTATGATGAATCTTTTAGAAAGCAAAGGAGGCTTCACTGTTTTTGTAAAGCAGGCAGTTCGTCACAGGATTTGTTTGGAAATGAACTGTGCACTTGTGCTGCAGAGCGTGATCTGAACTGAGGACTATGGCAATGTGAAGTTCCACATACCGTTACTCCAGGTGGGCGCCAAGAGCTTGTCTTTGCTTTTGTCTCCTCAGGGGCTCGGTTTGATGATGGTGCTGGAGGCGACAATGAAGTGCAGAGAACAATGCTGGAACTGATCAATCAGCTGGATGGCTTCGATCCTCGAGGCAATATCAAAGTGCTGATGGCCACTAACAGACCGGATACTTTGGATCCAGCCCTGATGAGGCCAGGGAGGTTGGACAGAAAGATTGAATTTAGCTTACCTGATCTCGAGGTGAGAAGTTAGAAAAGAGCTGCCTCAAAGTTGTCTTCCCATGTTGTTTTCTGTTGTTAACCATTTGTCACTTCTGTGACTTTTAGGGGCGGACTCACATCTTTAAGATCCATGCTCGTTCGATGAGTGTTGAAAGAGATATCCGATTCGAATTGCTAGCACGACTTTGTCCAAATAGCACCGGTGAGTGCAAAGGTGTTGCTTTACTTGCTGGTCTGCCAGTTGAGGCTGCTTTAAATTAAGCTTATTCTCGTTTGGTTTGAAAGGTGCCGAGATCAGAAGTGTCTGCACAGAAGCTGGCATGTTTGCGATCAGAGCGAGGCGGAAAATTGCTACGGAGAAGGACTTCTTGGAAGCTGTAAATAAGGTCATTAAGTCTTATGCCAAGTTCAGTGCTACTCCTCGCTACATGACATACAACTGAGCCCCTACGGCTTTCAAATGAAAACACTTCTTTCAGTTGGAATCCTAACCTTTTATAGACTTAATAACCACCTCACAAAAAATAAATGGCTTCAAAATTGAATGCTTTTTTTCCAGATGTCCTTTCTGTAGTATAATGAAAGGTGCCAGTATCAAATGTAGTTGGGCGATAAAGCTTATTGCACCATGTGCTGCCTGCTTTTTGGCCCATTATCGTTAAGAGGATTCACATGTACAGTTGTGTTAGACGGTTCACAGGCCCAGTGCTGGATGCAGTGCACACTCCATCTCAGTGTGTTCTCCCACCTGCCCAGTGACCACAGTTCCTCAGATCTGGATGGATGCACACTTTCCTACCTGATTTACTTAGCGCAGCAGAGCTAGCATTCAAGTCTGTTTGTCACTTCCATTATCTATAATCTTATTAAAATAGCTCATCTAGGTCTATGAGTACATGCATAACAGTCCCTCCCCACTTCCACTCCAAAGTTGAATAATATAATTTTGGCCAAACCTTTTAAAAAAATGGAGAAGCACTTGGTGTAACTTTTGCTTTGCTTCTGATTTCAAATTAATCCAGAATTGATTTTAATGTACAGTGAAGTGGTGCAGATACAGCAGAAAGAACAATCTCATTTAGATGATCCTGAATAGGCTTCCTACAGAGAAGTGATTGTTTTCATTTTATGTTAGACTGCTGGTCTACAGTGAAGTATTTAAAATAAAGGCTGTGTTAGAATTTGAGCATATCTCTTTAACAGTTATTTCCTATGTAACCACTACCAAATCCCCACAGCTACTCCCTGCCCCCAAAAAACTCAGACCAAAGCACAGTAATGAATATTTTTATTGAAGTTCAATATTCATAAATAAGTTGCAAAACAGTGAATTAAATTTTTAATTCACAAAAGAAAGTTGACAACATAGAAAATCCTGTGTTCTATTGAAATATTTCACATTTACAAAAGTTTTTAAGTAGAAAAAGTAAAGCTCTTCATTCATTACATCTAACCAGTACTCCTTTTTCATTTTTGTGAACTTGACCAGAAAATTTCATCATTTTTCAAGCACTGGTCTAGTCTTTCTTGAGGTATGAAGTAGAGCAAACCATTTCCAAATTATGTGTACAATAGAATATACTCAAGTAAACCAGAGATGTATTTCTGTGGATGTTCTGGTGAAATAAACGTAAGCATTTAAAAGACACTCTGAACTCTTTCCGTTGATTCATACACACTGATTTAAGCCAACTCACACTGGAGATGTGGAGTTCACTCAGGCCTAATATGGTACAGCCTATGAATAATCTCGACATTGCAGTTGGGTACATCATGAAAAATCCAACTGGCTACACATCAAACATGTTTCTGCTTACATATATGTATGCAGACAGCATCAGCAGTACCTAGATTAGCACAGTTGCACCCTACTTATAAAGAGTTATTGCTAACTCCCTCAACTAAACTACATACATGCCTTCATTTATAGATGGTCCCCAGCGTAATGACAGTTTGACTTGAGAGTTTTTTCAGCTTGTGGTGCCAAAGCAGTACACATTCGGTAGAAACCGCACTTTGGATTTCAGTCTTTCCCTGGGTTAATGACATGCAGTATGATCCTCTCATGATGCTGTGCTCAGCAGTGAGTAGCAGTTCCCAGTCAGTCCTGTGATCACGAGGGGACACAGCAGAGACCACAGTGTGCTGTGTCGCGAGCTATGCTGTGTGGTAGACTTAGAATAAGTTTACAGAGTGTTTACTGGGATGTAATCCCACCATAAATCAAGGAACATCTGATTACATGTTTATAGATATACATAACGTGTACATTGTATCAGGATGCTGATAGGCGAAGGGTCTATGGCTGTAGCAAAGCGTGTTGTAGGGTGCCTTTAAAGACATTTCTCTTTCACAAATGATGGGAATAAGTTTATAAAACATTTCCACCATGCTTCTGAGGTTCATGTGTTAACACAACTATACTATGTTCCAATTCAGTGAAAAGCCTGGTAAGACTTTCTCAAAGACAAGCTGAACTTACAAGCTGTTCAGACTTGATTAAATCCAAGTCAATAAGCAGGTATATTACTGGTGCTGTGCTAGCTTTTGATTAAACCACTCATTGCATGCATTTTGGTTGGCTGTATGTTCAGAGGGTTGGTTAATAACTTTATCAGTTGTTAGTTTGTGAGTTGATAAAATTTGCCTATCAAGAACCAACCTACTGAATTTTCCTGAAAGGTGCCCTTAAAAGGCCCAACATTTTTGGCTCACTAAAGCATACAGACTCACAAGGAAGTTTTGTTTGACTTCAGAATTTAAATTTAAGTGGGCAGACGTAATTGATCATAGCCTTCCCCACCATATACCCTTCCCTCCCTCTTTCTCCCTCACCCCTACACAAGGGCACGCCCCCACCCCCCACCCTCACCCCAACCACACAGAAAAACACACCCATGCACTCCAGGCAGATTCTCTGGGTTTGCTACCCTCCCTCCATTCACAAGAGGGCAGTCATTTTCTCAAAATGTACACTTGGAGGTAGGCACCTCTTTTCTGCTTAACAATAAGTATACAGGAACAAATCACACGAAGAAGCTATTTTCCATGTTAAATGAAGACTACAAAATGAGCTGCTCCCAGGGCTAGAGAAGATCCACACTCTTCACTGTTTCTTGGGGTCTCACTGCAGAGGAGACTGGCGATTGGGACCCCACCATCAGCCACTGTACCTTATACAGAGTCCATGCGTGGATGTTTGGAGTCTCCCAGGTGCTGGTTCACAATGGTCTTTCGAATATATTTGATCCATCCATGAAGCAGACATTACCCACTGTTACATTGCAGAGGATTTGAGAAAGACAAAGGGCTTCTCTTTATGGGACTTCCTGAAAACCAGGCTTTCCCATGTTGCCATAAGGAAAGACTCCAGTCCCTGTGTCATCATTGTGGAATATACCCATTTTGATACGGTAATATGAACCTGAACTCGAGTCAGGGCTGAAAGGCATGGACTGGCAGCTACTACAGCCCAAAAAGAACAAGCTGGGCTTAATACATGAATTCCTTGAAAAGGAGACAAAGACAAGGTCAGGCAATGTTCCACTGTATGAAATAATTGGAAATTAAAACATTCTGGCATATTTACATATGGATGAAATATTTTTTGAAATGCACTCAAATTCTCAGATGCATGCTAAAACAAGAATTACGTTTTTTGCCTTAAGACTTAAGTGCTTTTTATGTACATGATGGATTCTAATGAAAGCAAGTTAAAAATAGTAAAAATTAAATACATGTGTGCTTTTTGTGTGCTACCTTCAATCTAACAACCACTAGTACTGAACATCTACCACGTGGAAAGCATTTGTTGAAGAATACGCAATGAAGTATTTTATAACATTGTTTAAAATCCTTAAATTCTATTTAAATGGTTGAAATGATACGGGTCCTTTTACCAAAGTTTCTAGTATAAGCAGAAGTTCTACAAACTACATGCTGTTTCAGAAGGCAGTCTGTATCAGGACGCAAATGTATCTGATCTTGTGTGTGATCACAGCAAGGGAACTACCTGGGTGCAAGTCTAACTTTACTCTAGATCTAGATAGACTACTGACTAGAAAGAAGGGATCTACTTCAAATTAGATGAGTAAAGTCACCGAGAAACCTGATAGGAGTTAAACCAAACCATGGGGTTCGGTTGCAAGTAGGCCGTGCTAGCATAATTCGGCTGGGACCGCCAGATCCTTTTTGTTCTGGCAGTGTCTTCATGAAAATGAAAAGGAGTCCATGAGAAAACTTAAAGACACACTCACCATCAGCAGGAACTCTTAGCAGAGCCGGCTTTGAACAGGTTGGCTACTACCTGTGTTTTGATTTACAATGAACTCTGGTAGACAGCAGAAAGAACCACAAGAACAAGAACTATTGGTGACAAATTGGGTTAAAGATCCTCTTGTCCCCATCTTTGAATAGTCCATGTTTCTGAAGAATGAATCAGCTATTCTCCATATGCTAAAAATTGAGTGATGAAGAATTAGCTGTTGCGGACTTCTAAGGAGGATACCAAGTTAGACCTGGGGGCTCACTTTCTTAAAAATACAGTATTTAGCAACCACAACAAAAACTTGAGAGACTCCTACAGGCCACAGTCATGGCAATTTGAGCATCAAGAAGAACATAAAGGACTGAAACACATTAAAATTAAACAAATTCACAAAATTACAATTATACCAAAGAAGAAATCTTTAAAACTAATTTGTCACTCTCTTATTAAATCAATTCCTATTTTGAAGCTGAAAATTAAATGGAAGCAACCAAGTACTCAACCTCCCTAGGAAGATCCACCTTTAGGGGCTGGCACTATGGGACAGTTGGTGAAGCCACCACCTGCGATGCTTCCATCTCATATGGGCACCAATTTGAATTGGGCTGCTCCATTTCCAATCCAGCTGCCTGCTAATGGCCTGGGAAAGCAGCTGAGGGTAGCCAATTCCTTCGGCTCCTGCACCCACGTGGGTGACCTGGAAGAAGCTCCTGGCTTTAGCCTGGCCCAGCCCTGGCTGCTGTGGCCATCTGAGAAGTGAATCAGCAAATGGAAGACTGATCTCTATGCCTCTCTGTCTGTAACCTTGACTTTAATAAATAAAGATTTTTTTTAAAAGAACCTTTAAGGATAACCAAAATAGGTCAAGTTGAAGAGGGAAGGCTATTGTTTATATGGAACAACAAAAGAAGAAGAAACAAGAGATTTAGGAAAAAGAAATCACAAACCTTAATAAAATCACTGATTTAGCCATGGATGATCATTTGATGCTAATACTCATGGGTGAATGGTTAGTGGAAAACTGTACTTCCATTCAATGACAAAGCAACACTATGTGGATAACTAGGAGAAAACCTAATTGGGCATTCAGACTCATGCTGACCCTGGTCTAGCTTAGCACTGTTAATGGTAGGCCAACTAGACACAGCATACTTTCTGATGTGATATAATAGGAGACTTCTAAGAGTTTAGCACAAAATGTCTAACTCAAACCCATGGAGCCTTTAGATACCGTCTGCAGGTCTCAGATGGTTCAGGGAATAAAGGAATAAGTGCTAACACCACCATGAGAAAGCAAACGTGTTCACAAGATGAGACATCAGGACAACTTCTCCAGTCTCTTTAACAAGCCAATGTCATGGAGAAAAAAAAAAGGAACTGCACTAGATTACACTAGACTTAAGGGACTTAAAAGAAATGACTAGAGGGCCAGCGCCGTGGCTCAACAGGCTAATCCTCCGCCTTGCGGCGCCGGCACACCGGGTTCTAGTCCCGGTCGGGGCGCTGGATTCTGTCCCAGTTGCCCCTCTTCCAGGCCAGCTCTCTGCTATGGCCCAGGAGTGCAGTGGAGGATGGCCCAAGTGCTTGGGCCCTGCACCCCATGGGAGACCAGGAGAAGTACCTGGCTCCTGCCTTCGGATCAGCGTGGTGCACCGGCTGCAGTGCGCTGGCCACGGCGGCCATTGGAGGGTGAACCAACGGCAAAGGAAGACCTTTCTTTCTGTCTCTCTCTCACTGTCCACTCTGCCTGTCCAAAAAAAAAAAAAAAAAAGAAAAGAAATGACTAGTTGCAGTGTAAGGTCAGAATGAATAGCAGCTTGGACAAGCCAACTGCAATTTTGGGGATAACAGGGGAAATCTGAATACTATCTGAGGCAAGTATGTTCTGAAATAAAAAAAAATGGAGATTATTGACTGGGTTCTAAACTGCTATGTAGACATGATCTTATATTGGTTAAACATGTAAATATTCATGCACAGAAAAAGATCTGGAAAGATGTGCATTAACACATTAAGTCCCAACTTTTGAATTCAATGATGCAGTATAATATTTACTTCACAGTTAGCATAAGTGGTGTGTTTGCTGCTCAATTTAAGTCTTTCTGGGTATCACATATATAGGACAATGGGACACAATGGGTTAAAGTGTTAACAGTGGTGAATCTCTGAGTGGTGGGAACAAAATTCTTTTTTTATTTTTGCTTGTCTATTTTTTCAAAATATCCACAATAAACTTCTATTGTTTCTGTAATAAAGAAAAGTTATTCTAAAACAATAGCTTCTAGAAAGTAGTGGGTTTCCCTCTTCTGTCAGAAAACGGATTACAGTCTATAGACCAATGAGGCTACTAGAGCAAGGAGCCCCCCGCCATCTGTGTCAGCTTACCCTACCTGGGTCTTAAAGCAAATGCATTTTTAAGTGCTTGGTTTGCAAAGAGAACACTAAAAAAGTAACAGAGATGTCACTGCACAATCCATGCAGGCAGGAGTCCTACTTGTCTGGGAAATATTCAATGAAAAGAGCACAAGGCAGATACATCTTGCCATGTATGCGTCATTCACCCTCCAAATCAAGCCCTGCCTACGGTTATTCACGCCTAGGAAAAAGCCTAGTGTCTAGCATTTAAAAAGTGCAACTCGGGAATTTCACGAGAGGCCCCTAAGCCCGTCCCAGGCTCGGGTCCTCGTCTACGCCTCCGGAGTGGTGGGAGTGGCGTTGGGCTCCATGTCCTCCTGGGCAGGGGCCGCCAGGGCTTCCTGCTCGGCCATCGCCTCTCGGACCTGGCTGCCCAACACCGCGTCGTGAATGCTGTAGAACAGCAGCTCCTTCAAGGCAGGGTTCTCAAAGAATCTGTTTCGGGTGAGGTCATTCACAACCTGGGCTGCAACAGGAAGGACAGGAAAGTGAGTCCGCACCCTGGGGAGCACCCTCACCGAGTTGAATTATGCAAATGCTGTGCAGAAGGCTGGCTCTAATGACCTCTCCAACACACCACACCCCCCCCCCCCCCCCCCCCCCCCCCCCCGTAGGAGGAAGCAACTGCTAGTGATCTCTTATGTATTCGTCCAGAATTCCTCTACGCCCATATAAGTACATATAAATAGATACTCTTTTCTCCATTTTCTTACCCAACAGAGATCGCTGAGGGGTTTTCATAAAGGTTCAGGGAAATTATGTATTACGAAAAAATTACGCTTGGATTTCAAAACATGTTTTGCATCAAAATAAATTTCAGTTTTTAATTCAATTTTCTATGAACCCTTTGAACTCCCCTCATAGATTATTCTGTAATTCTTTTACTTAATTTTTTTTTCATCCATTGCACGGATTTCTACTCTATGGATGGATGCACCCCGTCTTATTTAACTGGTCCCTCTCTGGTTTTGACACCAATGCCGTGATGATCAACCACACACGCGTGTCCTTCTGAATGTGTACAATATATCGTGGCGTTGCTTCCTTCAAAGGTAAAGCCATATGGAATTTGGAAAGGCAATGCTGTCGGCCAGCATCAGGGGGTGCTCCATTTTGCCCTCTCACCAGTAATGCCCAGGGCAATCTGTCCTTCCACTGCACGCACACACGCACAGCACGTTGTCAAGATTTTTGATTTTTTGCCCATCTCACAGGTGAAAAGTCATGTCTGTGTGTCAATTTCATTTCCAAGCATTGTTTTAGCCAAAATACAGAGCAGAAACAAGGAGCAAGACATTCCAAGACTCTTGGATGGAGAAACAAGTGACTGGAATGATTTCATAGAAATGTAATATGCTTACGGCACTCACGAAACAATCCTGACTGCAGTAATGCATACAGAATTGTAGTAAATTGCAATGTTTCTGGCAGCAGCCACAAGACAGTAAACAGTGCTCCTCCAAACTCCAGGCTGGGGGGATCCGCCACAGGTAACCCATTCTAAAGCTGGCTTCAGGGTGACTTTCTGACAAATCGTTTTTAGTTTTATATAAAATTAAAGGGAAAATGTCCCAAATGTAATGATTTAAGAAAAGAAAAAACTAAAGTGTCAGACCTCCTGCCCATGGCAGACGCGCACTCACCGCTGCATCCTGCTAAGTAGACGTAAATGCCGACATCGCCGTATTCCTTCACAATCTGTAAAAATGTTGAAATACTTTCGTTTCTGTTGCCTCTGCCAGCTGCAAGTCTCGCACCAATCCTCGTATGCATTTTAGTGATACAAGAGCATTCATTCACGTGCTCTCGTTTGCTTCAATAATTATGCACCTTTGACAAGTAAGTTAAAACTAACTTCCGGCCGGTGCTGTGGCTCACTAGGCTAATCCTCCACCTTGCGGCGCCAGCACACCGGGTTCTAGTCCCGGTCAGGGCGCCGGATTCTGTCCCGGTTGCCCCTCTTCCAGGCCAGCTCTCTGCTGTGGCCAGGGAGTGCAGTGGAGGATGGCCCAAGTCCTTGGGCCCTGCACCCCATGGGAGACCAGGAGAAGCACCTGGCTCCTGCCTTTGGATCAGCGCGGTGCTCCGGTCGCAGCGCGCTGGCCGCGGCGGCCATTGGAGGGTGAACCAACGGCAAAGGAAGACCTTTCTCTCTCTCTCTCTCTCTCACTGTCCACTCTGCCTGTCAAAAAAAATAAAATAAAATAAAAAAAAATAAAAAAACTAACTTCCTATTTCTTCTGCTTTCTATGCAGACAGGGATGACTGAAGGTATCAAAAACGTTATGACGTTTTAGTGGAACTTATTGAAGGCGTTATGGGTACAGCAGGTATAGCCTTTATTGCTGATGGTTGAGGGGTTAAGGGCAGAAGCTGGATTTAATTACAGCATCTGAAAGGCAGGGCTAGTGCAAGATGCTTAGGTCTCTGGGGGTATGCCCTGGCAGGGTGGTTCATCCAAGAGCGTGGATGATTTGGGCTCAACTTCTGCTTAGCTGTTCTGCCTCTGCTCCCTGGCTCACCACGGGATCATTCCCCCACAGCCATCATGAGGAGCTTCCACTAGACAGGCCGGCTATGGGGTCAGCTGATTCCGAGCGGGAGCCTCCAGACCACGAGCTGAAACAAGCCTGTTCTTCCCCCCAAGAAGTACCTCTCAGACAGTCTATTCAAAATGATGACAAGCAGACTCAGACAGAAGGGACTGTGGTACTGAGTTATCAAGGAGAGGATGGGATGGCAGAGACAGGACGAGGGGACCCCAGCAATTAACGAGCCCAGACTGACCGCACTTCCTCACTGTTGAAGCATGAAGACTGGCAGTTCCATGTGGATCCACTCGACTTAGCTCTCTACTTTTGGACCTTGTAGGAATTCCCCATAATCAACAGTTGGAAAAATAACAAACAAACAAGAGCTCCCAAAGAGCAGAAAGGGCAAGCTTGTGAGAGCTCTCCGGCTATTGCAAGGGTGCCGCAGGGCATGGAGGTTTCAGTGCCCGTTCCAGGCGATGCTTACCCCCGCCACGGTCTTCACGCCGACGGAATCGATGAAATTGACCTGCGTGAAGTCCAGGATGATGGTGTGGACGCCGTCCCCTGGCGGCATGAACCTCTGCAGCTCCTCCGGGAAGGTGCTTCGGACCACTATGGGCGGGTATTTCACTTCCTCCTCCTCCTCCTCAGGCTTGGGGGCGTTTTCTCCATCGACTTCTGCATCCTGCCAGAGGCGAAACACAACCGGGAATTGGGTCAACAACCCACACTGTGAGAAACACTGGTACTGGAAAGTCAGCCTTCTGTTCTCAAGCGACTGACCCTGCCAGGTCCCCTCTAGAACATGGGTCACAGCCCAGCCTGTCCTGTCCACTTCTCTCCTCATTTTCTGGTCCAGTGAAATCCATCTCCTTGGCCATCCATACCCCAAACAGTTCCTAACTGTAGCCTGAGAGGCTGCAGGTTGCCGTAAGCTTCAACAGTAAACATCCAGCCGTTGAGTTTTTCTACCGTCAGCTGAATTAACCTTTGTGAAAGGTAGAGTGGCAGAGAGATGGGCACCCTTATATTGGACATGGTTGTCCCAAGCAGCAGCTTAGCTAACTGTACCAGTGATTTTTCTTTTTTAAACGTTTTCACTCCTTCTCTCCAAACCGTCCCCGTCATTGACCTTCTCATGTACCTGTAGTACAACAGGACACTTAGACTGTTTCTAAGCGTTCCTGGTGTGGAAACTTCTGGACCGTGAACACAGACGGAAGCCCCTGCAGGTGGAGAGAGGGGCAGCTCGTGGTGAGGAGGCCACTCACCACTTTGGCCACGGTGGCGTTGGCTATGTTCGCATTGCCCACCTCCTTAGCATACTTCCTCATGGCCTTTCTTCTCGCTCCCATGATGACTGCTGGGTTCACGCCAGTCTTCACGGAAGAACAACAGACACAGAGTCACTTCATGGCTCCCAGAGCTGCACCCAAACACCAGTAATCCTCCAGTCTCCTCCAGGGAACTGCTTCCTATGCCAAGAATCACCCCAGCCCTTGCTCTACCTTTCCTCTGATGTCCCAAACTCAGTCACATACATACACACACACATATACTCATACACACATACATATACACAGACACATATACACATGCATACGCACGTACACAAATATACACATACACATATATACACATACATATACACACAAATATACACATACACCTATATTTACACAACATATACACACATATATACACATATACATACATACACATGCATACACACATACACAAACACACATATTTACAAACATATACACATGCATATACATTTATACATAATACACATACACATGCATATACACATAAATATACACAAACATATACATACACACATAGATTACATATACATATATGGCAGAGTGAGAGAGTGAGAGCATGCATGTAAGAGCCACAGTGAGCACCAGACTGCTCCTATCCACTGGTTTACTCCCCAAGTGCCTCTAGCTGCCAGGGTTGGCCTGGGGCTGGAGCCAGGATCTGGGAACTGAATCCAGGTCTCCTACATGGGTGGCAGGCAACAAGCACTTGAGCCAGCCCCTGCTGCCTTCCAGGGTCTGCATTAGCAGGAAGCTGGAATCAGGAGCTGGAGGCAGGGCCAGGAAGGCAACGCAGGTCCTCATCTGTGGGAGGTGGGGGTCTCCACTGACAGCAGCTTAACTCCTGGGCTGAACGCCCACTCCTCCCCCCTCACTAGAAGAATAGTAGCAGCCTCTCCTATTCGCGATCCTTATTCAAGACAACCAGAAGCTCAAGTACTAAAGAGAATTTTCGGACGGCTATTTACCAAACTCCAAACTGAAGAGATGCTGTGGGTAGATGGGGAGGTTTTCCTAAATACAGGGCAGAGCGGGGTTGGGTTCTAATCACGACCACAGAAACCCACATGATCTCAAGAGTATGAAACCTAGGTTGTTTGGAAACCTAGGTTGTTTGTTCACTTTCCTTTTTTTTTTTTTTTTTTTTGGAAAAGGCACCATATGAGAGTATTTCCCATAAAGTTCATAGAAAGTGGAATTAGAAGAAAAATTCATTTTGTGCACAGAAAAAAATTGAAACTATATACACAAGGTCTTCAGAAGGCTGATGGAAAACTTCTATTATGGAAAAATTATGCACAGACTTCAAAATGTTTGCATCCAAACTTCTCTATTAATTTGATTTTCCCATGAACCTTTTGTCCTTATAATAAGGGAGACGAGTAGCCATGAGGATGTAACACCATGTAAACATAGTTAAGGTTACTCGCTGCATTGTTAAAACGGTAAATGTCTATATAGCCATCAGAGAAAAGAGGAGTGTGTGGGGAGTGGGTGATGGGGGAAAGAGAAAGGATTAAGGATGAAATAGTGAAACAGAGTAGATGCTGACGCTCTGTCAACCCAAAGCACCTTCCTGCCCCGGAAACAATCGCTCACACTTGGTCACACTCACCTTTCTCTTTAAGGCATTGCTATACAAGTCGCTGTTGGCGTAGTAAATTGGGGCGTTTATTTGGAATATTTTTATACCGGGAATCTCTTTCACCTAAGGAGTAAAACACGCACACACTTAACACATGGAGACATTTCAGACTCAGAGCTGCAGGCGCCGCCCTCCGCCAGCCAGAGCGGGAACCCCGAAGTCCTGCAGAATGGCTTCATGACACAGCGAGGCCACTCCGCTCCCGCCCTGGAGGGGAGAGTGCCAAGGAGGGAACCTTTCAACGTCTGACTCGGGGTCATTGTTCCCCTGAAGCACAGAGAAGGAAGAGACAAATCCAAGGGCACTTCAAACTCCTACGTTAATTCCATTCATCCATGAGTTGTGTGAAGCTCGCTCCTGCTCTACGAGAGAGACAGGTGGGGGTGGGCAGGCGGCCGGGCAGGCTGGCCACAGCTACAGAGCTGCACGCAGCTTTGGTTCACAGGTGGCACAGAGAAGCCTCCGAGAGCCCCAGGATGCAGTGGGGGAAGGACTGATCCAGCACTGACTTCCTTGCAATGAGGAAAGAAGAGGAATCCCAACCGCGGTCTCATTTCCAGACCCCTTGGAGTGACCCTGAGAAGGCCCTCCTGCGCAGGAACCAAAACAAATGAACAAAAGCCATTTTTCAAAGATTCTGGAACAGTCTTTGAGATCCCACAGAAGAAAAGAATGTTCAAAACCGGGGGAACCTACAGGCATCATTTCAACAGCCCCGCCACCCCTACTCCCCATGGTTAAAATTGGAATTTGCCACTGGCTGGGATTCCTCAGGAGAAAACCATGCACATGCAAGCCAGCCTCCCAGTGTAGGTATTTTGCCAATCCATATTTTAATTCCCCATTAAAAACTGGTAAAAATAAACACTAGGAGGTTGAGCAGGTAATGCCCGTGACGGACACAGCTGAATCCAGAGGGTATAGGCTCTGAGTTCTCACTTTGGCAGCGAAGCCGCCCTTCTCTTCATCCCAACTTCCTGTTCTGGGTCAAAGTACTACTTGGCAGCTCACACCACACGCTTACCACCTCTGGGAACAGCAGAGAAGGGGCCTACCTCCTCATACGCATCTATGTCAATGTACACATCGGTGTCAGGAAGCTGTCCAAGGACTTTGTAGCTCGGACTGGAGACAGAGAGGCCGTTAGATACCACTGGGTGCAGGTGCCGCACGCGCTTCAGATGTGGGGTTTGTGCGTCTGCATGTCACGTCTGCATGTCACGTGTGCATGTCACGTGTGCATGTGACGCATGCATCTGCTAGCAACTCAGCAGACAAATGATCCTTGCCTGCAGCCTCTGTAGAGGGCGCCCCCCACCACCTTCCCAGGGCATCCTGTTGCTGGATGCAGGGGAATTGAGGTCCCTCTGGCCAGGGAGCTGGGCCTCAAAGGATAAGGATTTTAACAGGCAAAGGCAGAATGAGCCTCCCAGGCCACGCGCAGTGCCTGGGATCTCATATCACCAAGTTCAAAGACTGCTGCTCCCAGCAAAGGCCAAGTCCTTACGACTTCCTTCAGAGCACCAGGAGCAAGAAAATCTCTTGCCGTGAGCTCTCGGGGGCTTTTCTCTGGGCATGTGTCAGGCTCATCATCCCACTGCGCCCTGCTCACACCTACAGACACACTTCTCACTGTGGATTATGACATGCTGATGAAGCGTCCGCTTCTAGATTCCTAAAAAACCCAGGGGTGAGTCATTGCCCCATCACTTACTGTCGACTGGGGAAGTTACCTACTCACTCTAGGCCTCAGTTTGCACATCTGGGAAATGGGGATGCTAGGAGTCCCTGTGTTGCAGGGGAGAAGTGATGTTTACATTGGTCTCCACACAGAACCAGCCATGTAGGAGCTGTGATAATTCAGGGGCACCGTCACTTCACTGTCACTATTGACATCGCCCTCATCATTATGGCGCAGCTGTCATCCAGGAAAACATGAAGAGAAGGACCATGTCTTATTTCCTGTAATACCCTTGAGGCTAGCATCGCCCTGGGAACAGACATGACCCTCAACGAAGATTATACTGACTGCTCATAACATTGGCCAAACTCTGAGCTCTCTGGGGGCAGGGGCTGAACATTCATCACATTTCCGGCCCCCACAATGCCTGCCTGGAGGAGGCATGTAGGAGCTGTGTGCTGAAAGAAGTGGCTGTCTCATGCTATTCATGCTCCAAGGGAAACTAGGCCCCGGGACACAAGGTCAAGGCCAAGGCGCCACCAGCTGTCTCCTAAAAGTGCCCTAATTACAGGAAGAGAAGCCAGAGGAGCACAAAGAAGTGCCCCAAAGGCTGGGGCTCCAAGCTTGAACTTTGAGACCCAGCAGAATCAGCAACCAAAAACAGAACATAAGACAGCCATCACTTTTTGTTAATTATATCACAGAGAAAGAAATATAGCATTAAAAAACTTTGTCCAGGGGCTGGTGCTGTGGCATAGCGGGTAAAGCTGCCGCCTATAGTGCCGGCATCTCATAGGAGAGCTGGTTCTAGTCCTGGCTGCTCCACTTCCAATCCAGCTCTCTGCTATGGCCTGGGAAAGCAGTAGAAAATGGCCCAAGTCCTTGTGTCCCTGCACCCACATGAGAGACTTGGAAGAGGCTCCTGGCTTCAGACTGGCCCAGCTCCAGCTGTTGCGGCCATTTAGGGAGTGAACCAGTAGATGGAAGACCTCTCTCTCTCTCTCTCTCTCTCTCTCTCTCTCTCTCTGCCTCTCTGCCTCTGTCCCTCTGTAACTCTGCCTTTCAGATAAATAAATAAATCTTAACAAAAACTTTGTCCAGGGGTTGGCATTGTGGCACAGCGGGTTAACCTGCCAACCTTCAACACCAACATCCTGTATGAGTGCCAGTTTGATTCCCGGTTGGGCCACTTCCAATCCAGCTCCCTATTAATGAGCCTGGGAGAGCAGCAGAGGATGGCCCAAGTGCTTGGGCCCCTGCATTCATGTGGGAGACCCGAATGAAGCCCCTGGCTCCTGGCTTCCGCCTGGCTCAGTCTTGGCCATTTGTGGCCATCTGGGAAGTGAACCAGTGGATGGAAGATCTCTAATTCTTTCAAATAAATAAACGAATATTTTTCTTATAAAAAGCATTAAAAATAAATTTAAAAAACCTTTGCATAACTTTAACTTCTAACTTTATTATCTGAAACCATAAAATTCTATTCTGTAAGGAAAACAAAGAAGAATTTTAATTCTATATCATGCCTTATTAAAGGAGATGTTTGCTGTTTTTCTTTAAAGATTTATTTATTTGAAAGGCAGAGTTACAGAGATAGAGGGAGAGACAGAGAGACAGAGAGACACAGAAAGAGAATGAATCTTCCATTTGCTGGTTCATGCCCCAGAGGGCCACAAGCCAGAAGTCAGGAGATACATCCGGGTCTCCCACATGGGTTCAGGGGCCCAAGCACATGGGCCATCTTCTACCGCTTTCCCAGGCACATTAGCAGGGAGCTGGCCAGGACTTGAACTGGTACCCATATGAGATGCCAGCACTGCAGGGGGAGGCTTAGGTTACTATGCCACAGCACCAGCCTCTGTCTCCCTTTCAAACAAACAAACATATCTATTATTTAAAAAAAAAAAAATCTAGGCTGTTCTCTGAAACATTTCCTTTTCATCTTTATGCAATTTCTTTGTCATAAACAGTATTTTTTTTTACAGGCTACTTTCTACCTTCTCCAGTGGGTCCAGCTCCTTATTAGAAAGAGGAGATGACAGGGAATAATGGCTCAGGGGGGAGGGGACACTGGGAGGACTGCATCTGATAACCTGTGGTCCACATCACCTAAAACTCACATCGGCACCTGGTGCCCAAGCAAATCGCAAGAACGTGCGCTGTCCTCAGATGTGTGGAGGAAACCCAGGCTACCCCTGGGCCACACACGGCAGGAACCGTGATGGGACTCAGGCTCTTATCTAACACAGTCGCTGACGCAAGTCCCAACTGCGACCCAGGAGAGCATCAGATGATCGGTTTGGCATTTTGTTTCATCGACATCCCACGCGAGCGTTACAGCTCCCTGGCACGCTCACCGGAAACAGCCCAAGGGCTCCACTTTCCCCAGCCCAGCCTCACTCCACACTTAGGAGTGCACGGCGTGGTCTCAGCCGCTCACTCACCTCTGTGTTCGGTAAATCACCGTGAGTAGCGCGATGATCACAGCCGTGATCAGACCGTAGTCCAAGCCCAGGAACAAGGAGGACACGAAGGTGGTGAGCCAGATCGTCTAGACAAAGGCGGAGAAGTGCGTGGGGAATCCCTGGGAAGTTCCAGGAGGGGCAGGCGGGGGATGGCCAGGTCCACCACTGGAGCGCCTGGACTCTGTGCCAGGATCTGGCTCCTGACTTCAACTTCAGGCTCATGCGCACCCTTGGAGGCAGCTGGTGCTGGTGCACGTGACTGAGTTCAGCCACCCATATGGGAGACCTGGATTGAGTTTCAGGCTCCCAACTTTGGCCCTGGCCCAGCCCTGGCACCTGGAGGGGAGTGAACCAGTGCTTGGGAGCTCTCCTGTCGCTGTCTCTTTCTGTCTCTCAAAAAAAAAAAAAAAAAACCAAAACAAAACAAACAAACAAAACCTCTCTAAGAGTTAAACACATACACGTATGAGCTATGTTGACCCAGAATAACTGGGTACTGTAGGTAACAACCATGTTAACTTCTCTTTTTCACACTTTCATTGGCACTGATCACGTTTGCTGCTGGAACGCATTAACCTATTGATCAGCTTTGTTACTTACCAGCTCTATCTTGCTGGTTCTCCAGAAAAAGGGGAGATCTGCAAACTGCATGAACATGCCTTTCAGGTTGACGATCACGATGGCTGACAGCACCGCCTGAAACACAGCACAGGCGCTCAGGTGCCTCCTCTCTGGTGCCCTCTGCTGGTTCCTCACTGTCCTGCTGCTGACTTCCCCACTCGCTTCCTACCTGATGCTAATGCTAACTTGGAGCCATGAACACTTGGCTTTTCAGGATGTGGCTGGCCAAAGTGGGCCTGGGAAAAGCAGACTGATCTGCTTTTTTTTTTTTTTTTTTTTCAAACCTGCATGGTGGCCAAGAGGTTCAGAATTAGACCTGGGATTCAGGAATGATTTCATCCAGAGTCCTCCGCCACGGTGACTTTCTCTATATTGTTCCTGACCTCTATTAGATTAAATGCAAATATCTTATGAGTGAAGGCCACAGGAGTCAAAGAGGAGAGACACTGGAGATAGCCAGTCCAAACCACTTCTTGGAGATGTGTTCTCAAGGTTCTCTTGGGTTGAGATGTATTACCAAAGTCCTGTTAGCAGGTATCAACAGATGACAGAGCATGACCTTGATCTCAGCCTTGACCCTTTCTCATACCACCTTGCTAGGGTTACTGCTTAAAATTCCCTAAGACAGCCTCAAAAATATATGCAAATAAAAGTGCAAGATCTCTACACATGGCCAGACCTCACACCAAGCCCATGCTACACACCTGGGGTAATGATTCAAAGAGGAATCCAGTGGCTAAGATGACCAGCAGAATCATCAAGGAGGCCAAACAACCTGCAAGCTGAATGAGAAAACACAAGGAGGCACTTTGAGGGGACTTAAGCAGCACAGGTTGGTCTTATTTGTTTGATAAGCACTGAAAATCAAGTGATTTTCAAGAAAATACAGATTCGAACAAAGTGTCCAAACCACCACATAACCTATAGCTCCTGCCCACACCCTTTTAGAAGCTCTGGGTCCTCTTTTAGCTTTTATGCAGACGCTGAAATGCTTCCACATCCCAGTTGAAATGCCTTTCTCAGAGCCGAGGCCCACCAGGGCTGGAAGAGTTCAGACAGTGTTTGCTGTCCCATAGGGTAGCCACAAGCCACATGTGGCTATTCAACCTTACAAAAATTAAAACAGAAGTCCAGGCTTTGATTGCAGCAGCCACATTTCAAGTGCTCAAGAGCTGCTACTGGCTGCCATACTGGATGGCACAAACATCAAACATTTCCATCACTGCAGAAACCTCTGTGTCACTGGTGCTGGCCTCCTGCCCTTGGCAGTCTCAGCTCTCACAATAACATCCCACGTCTGAACGGTGAGGGTCCCTGGCAGCAGGGAGTTCTCTGTAACTCTCCAGTTTAACTGGACATTGCTCCTCTTTCCTACAGATTCAGTTTCTGGTGATTTGCTTCAACCAGTCGTGCCTTTCTCTGATTCACTACCCGGCTCCCTGGAGCATGGATCTGCAGGCAGAGTAGCTTTGTTTGGGTTCAGCATAGGATTGGGAGATGACAATTCAATCACCACTCTTGCCAGCGGCTGTTAGAGGCCTGTTGCATACATACCTGTGTCTTCCCTCCGGTTCCCTCCTGCACAAGGCTCCGAGACAAGGAGCAGGAGATTGAGAAGGTCTGGAAGAGTGAGCCAATGGAGTTGCACAGTCCCAGGGCAATGAGTTCCTTTGCCACAAGGAAACAAGACATGAGTGAGACAGATCATTCTTCAGCAAGACGCCTGAGAGTCCACTGACTACACATTTTCAATAGGAATGCTGTCTCCTCATTTTCTTTGCAGAGACAAGAACTTGTTTAGCATGAGTTCAAAATAGGAAGTAGGGCGTATTTCATGGTGGGGGAAAACACAGGTTGAATTTTTATTGTGTCGGAGATAAATGTTATGCTTCCTGCCCAGCTGCCGTCTTATCAAACACACTCTACACAAATAATGCTGTTTCTTGAACGGAAGTTGCAGTAAAAGGGATAAAAAGGAAGTTTTTGATATCTAGGGCCACTGGCATCTCTCAAAAGCCTGGGTTATTGCTCACTGATGAGCACGTGCCAGAGTCTTCTGGGACCAGGGAGTCCTGCTCCTAAGGCTATTTCGGGTACTTCCAGTTTGATCGCTGAAATTCATATGAAGGTGGAGCATCTCGTCTTCCCTTAGACATACACAAGGTGCAAAATAGACATCGGCACGCCAAGATTAGAGCTCATGGGGTTTGGATTCAACATCGCACCTGCGGCCACGTAGTAAGAGGGGGCAGCTTAGAGAATACTGTGGAGTTTGAGTGATGAGTCATAGACCCAAAGCTTAAGGAACGAAGGTAAGCCTTTCCGTGGAGCAAAAATCCTTCTGGAAAGATATTTTACTTCCAAGCAGTGATTTTACAAAGACAAGGATGGGGTTGGCATTGTGAGGCAGTGGGTTAAGCAGCTGAAGTAAGGCCAACTTCCCCGAACAGAGTGCGGTTTGAGTTCTGGCTGCTCCACTTCTGATCCAGTTTCCTGCTAAGGCACCTGTACTTGGATCCAAGCACTTGGGTCACCCGCACGGGATACCCAGATGGAATTCCTCACTCCTGGCTTCAGCCATTGCAGCTATTTGAGGAGCCCCAGCTGTTGTGGCCATTAAGGGAGTTAACCAGCAGGTGGAAGGCATCTTTCCCTCGCTTACACACAGTCTGCCTTTCAAATTAAAATAAACGAATCCTTAAAAATAGGGACAACATCTCTAGGAATAGGCTGCAGATTGGAGATTTCACGTTTGTAGCCAGACTGTCATGCCTGAGGCAAGGCAGGACTCTGTACCCCAGGGTTCTGATTATTTAATGCTCACAAATAATGAAAAAAGATTGTACTGTTGAATAAATACATGTTTCAAATAGGTCCATCACCAAAACAAATGTTTTTCCCCCAAGATAGATAAATTTCATTCCTGTGCCTTCCCTAACAGAGCACAACGACTGTTCTCTTATGAAACTTCTGCAGGAAACAGGTGGTTTTTACCTGATTGCCATCAACCTGGTAGCCATGTTTATTTGCCAAGGTCTTGGCCATTGAGATGGTCACTGAAAAGCCAACAATGGCTATGGCAATGGCATCCACATACACGAGGTGGAAGAGGCTGGTGTCTGGATTGGCTGGAGGTAGTAGCCTGGAAAACCAAGATGGCTTTAACTCGAGTGTTGTGATTGTAAGGAAAAAGCCCGAGATGGGAGGGTGGCATTTCCAAGGGACACTCTATCAAGGAGGTAACCCACACCTGGACACCTGTGTTCCCTGGAGGGCCCTGCTGGACACAGAGGGCTACCTTCGAGGCCCTGGAGGGTTAATCTGCAGAGATCGGGTACTGTTTTATTTGGACAGGGAGTAACCTCACACCTCATGGCACCCCATGGACAGGTGTAAGTAAGACCCAGGACCAGGAAGAAAAGAGGCTCAGAGGAGTACTCGGATGCCACAAGACATTTGAACCAAAGTCTAGGGTGGGGAGGTTATCGGACAAGGGCTCCCGCCGAGGAGAATCGATGTCCTTGTGACACGGGCACTCCTCTTGTTACTTGATGTGAGGAGTCTGAGTCCGTTACCTCTCCCCATGTTGTTCCCCCTCTGGGTGAGTTTTTAAAACAGGGAACCAACAGCAGAAGAGGATGCCCCTTGGGAATCCTGTGAGCCTCACGGAGCCCAAAGCGTGACTCCTCGAATCCCACAATGGGGAGCCCAGCTTTTGTGGTCCAGCCTTAACAGTTGTTTGGGTCCTTGTCTTAAAGAAACAGAACAAGGATTCCCTTGATGTTGCTGGGGAAGGGTCAGTGAGGATTTTCAAAGGCATCCTGCTCCAGTTCAAGGCACTTGGGCTAAACAGCAACAATAATCACCCAGCTGATGGACAGTAAGTATCGCAATGACAGCCATTCATTAGGCACCTCCTCTGTGCCAGGTTCTGTGCTCACTTAATTATGTCTAATAGCTTTGTGAACAAGGTGCCAGTGTAAACTCCATTTTCCAGATGAGGCATAATGAGGTTAGGCAGCTTGAACAAGGTCAACAGCTCATCCACTAAGTACAACAAAACCACAAATAGCATGCACCTCTTCCCCATCTTTCTCACTATGTCACAATGCAGTGACAGAAGGGAAGTTTCAAATTTCAGGGTAAGGAAAGGGAGGAGAGAAAGAGAAAGGAAGCTCTGATGTGTTCAGGACCCCTTCGGTGCTACATGCCTTAACTAAGCCATCTCATTCCCCCTCCAAACAATTCTATCAGATAGGTCCATTATTATCCTAATTTAAGGATGAAGAAAAATGGATGACTGCAGAAGTTAACCGATTTTTCCAAGACGGAGCCGGGAGTTAAACACAGAGGGTCTGACCATAAAATGGTTTTCACTGTACTTGGCTGCATAAGCATTAACTGACAGGGGAGCCAAGCAGCAGGTCTGGGCTTGAGGAATACAAATGTAAGAAAAAGATGTATTTTGCAACAAGTTAAGGAAAGTAAATAAAAAATCAGGATATACTGCCATCATTAAGTCTTCAACACTTCAACACTCCTTTCTGGGCAATGCAATGTAATACATTTCATGTCTAAAAGGTAAGGGTGACAGTTTGTTTGCAAGCACGGCCACCAGTCATTCCTACCATACTTGTACTGCATGCTGCTTCTCCTGTCCACATATGGAATCTGTTTCCCCTTGGGCTGACTCTAGTCTGGCCTTCTGATTTGCTCTGACCAACAGAATGTGGTGGAAGTGATATTGTACACATGCTTATGTAAGGCCTGGCCAATTCTCTGCTTGCCCTGAGCACCATGCACTGGGGTCTCAGGACTCTGCCAGAGACACCATGTGGAGAGAATATGCCAGCCAGCCAGCCTGCAGCTGCTCCTGTCACTTCAACCAAGTTCTGCCAGGCATGTGAATGAAACCCTCTTGATCCTCTAGCAGCAGACACACCTTCAGACACGTGAGAGACACCCAAATGAGCCCAGAAGAACCAGCCAGCTGAGCCCAACCTAGACTGAGAACTATGAACAAATCACTATTTCGAGACAATTTTTCAATAAGATTCACAGATGACTAAAATGGTATGATTACATAGAGATTAGGTAGGTAGGTAGGTATTTGTTACTTGCTTGGCTTTGGAAAAGTTTCAGAAAGATAAGGTTTCTCAATAGCCAAGTTCCAGAAAAGTAAAAACTTTTTTTTTTTTTTTTTAAGTTGCGCTCTCTCACATGGGAGAAAACAAACATATCTGGGTGCAATGAAATAGGGAAAGAAAGGTACTAAGAAATTATGGTGAAATGCGCATTTTAACCTATTGGTCTATTTTTAAAAAGAAAAACGTGGGACGGTGCTGTGGTCTAGTGGGCAAAGCTGCTGCCTGCAGTGCCGGCATCCCATATGGGCGCTGGTTCGAGTCCCGGCTTCTCCACTTCCGATTCAGCTCCCTTCTAATGTCTCTGGGAAAGCAGTGGAAGATGGCCCCAGTCCTTGGGCCCCTGCCACCCATGTGGGAGACCTGGAAGAAACTCCTGGATCCTAGCTTTGGATCAGCCCAGCTCCAGCTGTTGCGGTCATTTGGGGAGTGAACCAGCAGATGGAAACCTCTCTCTACTTCTGCCTCTGTCTCTCTGCAACTGTCTTTCAAACAAATAAAAAAAAATTTTTTTAAAGACAGAAACCTAAGTGTAAGCATTTCACATTTAATCAAATTCTTTGTAACTGGCAACTGAACAGGATTAGCCATCGGATCCAATCAAAGACTGACACTTATCACATGACTGTATAGAGACCTAGGTGTGAGCTAATGGAAAGAGTACACGCCGGCTATCAGAATACCGAGTTTTAGGAGCAGGCTGGAACTTGCCAGAGTCCCTAAACCTCACTCATGTCACCCAGATATCACCTTTCCTGACACCCTACCTCAAAGAGCAACCTCTTCCCCCCTCCCCCTTATCTGGCTTCGCTTTTTTCACAGCACTGCTCAGTGTTTACTGGTTGACTGTCTATTTCCTCCAGGAAAATACAAAGTCCGTGAGGGTGAGCACTTTTTTTCTTGTGTGTTTAACTGCTGCATCCCTAGGACATGACAGGCGCTCAAGAAACACCTGCTGAATAAATGAACTTGTAAAATGGAGATAATAGTGCATATTATCTACAGGGTTTCAGATGATGGAAATAAAAGTATTTTATAAGCCCAAATATAAAAGCAATGCATATTACTGTTAAAGCTTTACACTGAATCATTGCTAGTGACAAGTTCATGATACCAATTTACTGATTTGAGGTTTAAAATACAGTGTGGGGCAGGTGCTATGGTATACGGGGTTAAGCCTCTGCCTGCAGTGCCTGCATCCTGTATGGGTGCTAGTTCGAGTCCCGGCTCCTCCTCTTCCAATCCAGCTCTCGGCTAATGGCCTGGGAAAGCAGTAGAAGATGGTTCAAGCGCTTGGGCCTTAGCACCCACGTCGGAGACCCAGAAGAAGCTCCTGGCTCCTGGCTTTGGCCTGGCCCAGCTCTGTTTGTTTCGGTCATTTGAAGAGGGAACCAGGAGATGGAAGACTGTTCTTTCTGTCTCTCCCTCTCTGATTCTACCTCTCAAATAAATAATAAAATCTTTAAAGAAAAGTAGAGTGCATGCTTCCTCCTCTAATACTTGCTCCACTGGGTGAACACTGACTTAAAGAGCAAGCTCTGCCCCTTCTGCCTCCCAGGATGGAACTAAGACAGGACTGGAGGGCAAGGCCTGGTGGGACATGGGCAGTTCCACCAATGTGCAACATTTGGGCAAACTTCTGTGCTCTTCTGGATGAGAGAGCAAGAGGGCGAGAGAGCGTGAGCATACATGATGGTGGGAGGGAGGGAGAGATTAATAGGACAAGGGATAGAAGGTACACACAGAGAAAGAGATAGCCAGATCATGTCAGAGGTTAGATGAGGAAAGGGGGTAGTCACCCTTGTTCTTTAAAGTATAGAGTAACGAATTTAAAAACATGGAGTCAGGTACAGAAATGATGCAAAGAAGTAAAATATTACTTGAAATCAGAAAATTTATGAAAACAACAAGCCTCAGAGCCTTCAGCTGATGTGTGCGAGGTGCTGTATTAACGTGCTGTTCTGCACGTTCTGTCAGCTCCTGCAGCTCTCACACCTGCCCAAGGGCTGAGCATCCATTCCCATGCACACCTGGCTTGCAGAGGGTCAGCGAGCAGCCCAGGTCACAGAGCTAGTAAGTGGCAGGCTAGAACTTAGGTCTTTCTGCTCGTCATTCCTACACCAGTCAAGGAGAGACTTAAAAAACCTGTACATTTAATGAAATAAAAGGAAACCAAGAAACCCAGCTGCTGGTGGGACTGCAAAATGCTATAGCAAACAGTATAGAGGTTCCAGAAAAAGTTAAAAATAGAGTCATTATATCACATCCCACAGAACCGAAAGCAGGGTCTTGAAGGTACAGAAGTTCAGATCTGTGAGATTTGTTTTGCAGAGCTGTTTTACAGCAATGTGAATATATTTAACATGAATCAACTGCACACCTACAAATGGTTACGATGGTAAATTTTATGTTCTATAGATTTTACCACTAAAAACACACAGCCCAAGCCCTCCAACCCTTAGCTATCTGATTTGTAGGAACAAATGTATTATACACACATACACACATTTACATTGTAAGGGCACTACAGCAGGAGTTAGAAACAACAGATCCATGGATTATTCAAGCCACCCTGTTCTCAAAATGATCTTCCTACCCCAGAGGAAGTGTCCCAACGACGTCCACGCTGTATGATTCCTTCAAGTTAAACCCAGCTGAAATGCCAGTGCCCATGACCACCTGAAACAGATGCAAGTGTGCCTTGAGGAAGGAATACTCAGAACCCCAACAATGAGCTCCCAAGACCTGGACAGCCAGGCCGAACCCCTTCTCAATGCTGACTTGAAATTCAATACATCTCCAGCAGGCTAATTTTAAAGTGGATGATTCTGTATGGCCCATGAATGATGTCATAAATATCCAAATGACCCTTGGCTCTGCTCTGAAGTCCTGCTTCCTGCCAGTGTGGACGTGTGGATGCTGGAGGGCAGGATGTCATGGCTCGGGTGGTTGGGTCCCCATCATACATGTGGGAGACCTGGATTGAGTTCCCAGTTCCTGGCTTTGACCTAGCCCAACCTCAGCCTGTGCAGGCATTTGGGGAATGAACCAGCAGATGGGAGATTTCTTTCTCCCTCTTTCTCCCTCCCTTCTTCCCTCTCTCAAAAAGTAGGAATGATATGAAAATACAGGAAATCAGGCAGCGATGTCCAACCTGGTTTCAAGGTTTGGGGTATGTACTCCGCAGGCACCTACATGCCATGAGTAAGTAATTGTGCTTTCTTAAAACTGCATTTTAAAATTCCGATTCACAGGCATATTTCTTATCAAGTGCCAGCTCTCCAGCTGTCAATCATAAACATGCCCTAAGGTGCTGGGACTTAGCCATTTACTCAGTGAACTGGCTTTTGGCTTAGGACTGCTAGGGAGCTGACAAAGTTTGGGGACCCTCATCTTTTAAAAAATGGAAACAGTTGAATTCTTTTTTCAGGTAATTAAGGCAATATTTTTGCTCATTAGAAAACAATTAGACAATAAAAATGTGAGGCAATCAAATCCTCCATAATCCTATCTCTCAGCAGTAATTAGTGTTAACAGTCACGTATGGTCTCCACTTAGGGGTCAAACATCTTTGTCTATGTTTTAAAGCTTCTAGCTTTTTTGTGAGTTGGTAAAAGCTCCCTTTGACAAAGTCTAATCTTCTTTTGGCAGAACCAACAGAACAAAAGACGCTCTACCTCCCTGCTCTGCTAGCACCCACTTCGCAACCCTTCATATAAAAACGTGGGCGCAATCCCAGAAGCCAAACAGGTGACAGCCTTGAGTTGACTTACCGCAAAGAACTCTAAAGGAATGGGTGCCGGCAATTTCTCTTTAAATCTCTCATTAAACTCCTTGCCACCCAACAGCAAACCAAAAACCATGAGCCCGACGCCTAGGGAACACACGTTGAGGTTTTTAATATTCTGCAACACAGCAACTGTACTCTGCAACACAGTGAACACTGGGTGTTTACATCAGGAGCAGCTCTGGAGCACAGAGTCCCACTAGTGCAGTAGCGCGGCCGGCCAGCAGGCAGGACCCTGCTCGTGCCGGCTTCTCAGGCTGCCGTCGCACTCCCAGCAGCTTCCTCCAACCTGGAGGCATCTTTAACCCCCCTCATGCAACTCGGTAGCTGCAGTTCTTATCCAACAAACTTGTGGTATTTTTTCGACATGCTGACATCTCCATGTGGTATTATCACATGTAGAAACGTAACCATGAACCTGAGTCCCGTGCGTTAGGAAAGAATTACGAGTCCATAGGAGCAAAAGGCTCCTAGCATAGAAGGGCTTGTAGGAGCTCCAAGAGCGAGGGGATTGTTGTTAGCAGGTGAAAGAGAAATCAGGCTTTGAAGTCCAGAGAGTGGCCGTGTCTGGAAGGAGCCCAGGAGAGTTGGAGGGGAAGGCCACCTAATGATCTCCTAGGGTTACTGAGTGCCCCGGAGACAGCCAGCTCTCATCTGATGCCAGTGAAGTAAACTCCTGGCCGAGCCCAGGCCACACACCCTTTCCCACCTGCCTACAGCTTCCAGGTGTGTTTGTGCATCGTCTTTCCTTTGTGACAAGGCATTTTGGGAGGTCCCAGAGTAAGAAGGATGCTGCTAGCCATCAGGGGAAACTGCGAATTTCGGTATTTAGGGAATATGCCTACAGTCTGACTACATCGTAACAGAGCACTGACTGTGGAAATACACCTCCTCAGAGACTTTCCTGGACCTCTCTTCTAAAGGCGTCCCTGCAGCAGCCTAGATCTTTCCTTCGTAGCCCTTCACGCTGCTCGTCACTGACCACACACCTAACGGTTCATGGCTGACCAGCTGTCTCCTCCCTGGGCTGTCAGCTCCAAAGGGCGAGGGCTCCCTCTGCCCGGCTCGCTGCTGTAGCTCAGAGCCCAGCACAGTGTGAGGCACTCGAGCGCACTGGCTCTAGGCTTCTCTCTCCAGGGATGGCTTCAGCGACACCTCTGACGTTGCGAAGGGCAACACTTCCCTTGTCAGTTGATGCTCACTACTCCTGAATTCCCTCTGTATAGGAATGTGTTTTTTGGTTTCTAACTGTAGGGGGCTTTAAAGTTATATGTAGTTACTGATTCTGAGTTTTATCACACTCTGAAAAAATAGTGAATTCTTGGAATTTTTAATCAGTGTCATAGGATGTATGGGGTTTTTAAAGCTCTATTTAGTTGTTGATATACACGTGCATATAAATACGTTTAGTTACTGATACAATTGGTTACTGATTACTGTACTCTGTGAAAAAATACTGAGTTCTTAGAATTTGTGACCGGCGTCAATACCATCAGCTATTACCATAGTTTGCTATGTGCTTGCCAATGATTTCTATTTTCTCTGAGTTGGGCACAGTCTATATATGTTTCCTTACATTGAACTGGTTAACTGTGTTAGTGAAATTTTTCATAGCCTTACTTATTTTTATGCCTTCTTGACTGTTTTTGAGAGACACAATCTTTGTTAGTTTCTAAAACAAATGGAACTTGGTCGATGTCTTTGCCAGTGATGGTGCAGTCATTAAATAAAAGTCTGACAACAGCTTCCTTGTGCAGTAGGTAGAGCCATGCATTGATAAAGCAGGACTCTGGGGTGTGATCCTTCTTGTGATCCTAGTTCCATGTGGGAACTAGGCAGGAAGATTAGGTAGGAATAGTTGAGCTGTAAGAGTTTTCTCACGAGCCCTGCCAGCCCTGCACTAACTCTACCCCCTACCTACCAATCCAGCATGCCCACGTTCCCAGGATGCACCTGTGTCTCATCTGGGACCAGGAAGGAGGAGATGCCATGATGGCCACATGGGAAGCAAAGTTCCAGGTGGAGGCACCATGAAACTCCCAGAAACCCTCAGACACACGCTAAACCTTGCCCAGACGCCACCCCCTACCCCATAAAAGTGCCTATTACATGTGGAAACGCCCTTTTTGCTTTTTTGGTTTCTGGCCTCCTCCAATGCTCCCTCCTCATAGGCAACTCAGTGGCCCACTCGGGACGGGTCTCCCTCCGTGTGGGGCTGCCCACACTCTCACCTGAGTGTATACTCGCTCGCTCACTCTCAAATACGTTCTGCGCTCCCTCGTGCACCATATTCATGCCTCTGAATTCTCACCTCTGCGGGGACAAGAACTGGGAACAGAGATGGAGATACTGATGCCCATGACAGCGTGCCTCTCAGAAAGCCTTAGAACCCCTGACCGTTCTCCCTGTGCTGGAAATTCTTGGGAAAAGGGAACCTCAGGCTCGCCGGGGAACTAGACACTCAGGAGAAAGGCGGAGAGTGAAGAAGAAACGAGCAGTGAGTCAGGAAGCTGCTTACTTACATACACCACCGAAAAGATCCCACTGTACCGCTTGGTTTTAACTCCAAAGAGGTATTTTAACATGGAGGTGAAGACGTGCACGGCCGCCGCGGTGGTAAAGCCGCGCACCAGGGGCTCCGTGAGGTAGATGGCCACGAAGCCGAACCGACAGACACCTAGGCAGAACTGTTTTTTTTTTTTTTTTAAATGACAAAGAAACAAATAAATCACATGATAGATCAGGAAGATGCAACCAAGAAAAAAAACATTCCAAACTTCTTTCTGGACTACCTCCTGCCACTAGACACTTGTGCCTGCAGTTAGTGGCTTACACGTAAACCACAGGTTGGACAGGACGCAGTGGAAAGCCGGGAGTAGCCTGGAGCCCTACAGGGCACTGGCCAGGGCCCTGCCTTCCCTGTGCCACAGAGCCAGGGGCACACACCGTCACGGAGCGCAGGACTGCTGGCTGCTCCTTACAGCTGATAAGGGCTGGCCTCTCCCCAGCCCTACCCTATCCCACTGCTTCCAGCTCCTCTTGTGTTTGGGCCCGCCCTAAGTGCAGCTTGCCAGCACTCCTTGTAGTAACAAGGCATGGCATTGGAGGAGCGCTCCTGTGTGCTATGAGCTGGAGCCCTGGAGTTCTGCGGGCGGACTCTGCCCTGGTGCGGTAACACCGACCACAAGTGCCCAGTGGCTATTTACCAAATGAACAAATGAGAACCCATCACCATCTTTGAGTCCTACCTGAATGATTCCCGAAAGCAAGGTCACCGACATGGCGACTTTCACTCTCAAGGCGTCCCTGGCTTCTGTTCCGTTGGTTGCGTTTACTCCTCCTGGGATAACTATGTCATCGGGTACCAGTCGAACAGCCACACCACCTATCATCAGGCTAATGACGGCAAAAGGACCTGAAATAACAAGGCGCACGTGAGCCCTGCTGCAGGGTGCAAGGAAACCCTGCTCCAGGGTATGTCTGACGTGGCTGCTGCCAGTCCACCGGAGACACAGGTGAGGTGGACCAAAGGCTGCACTGCCCTCCTTCGGCGTCCTGCTCTTGGGGTGCGAGCAACCTTGTGTGCACAGACTGCATGAATGGACTTCAAAAAGTACGTGGAAAATGGTATTAACACATTTTATTTTTGGTACAAAATATACTTAAAATCTATGCATTTTTTTTTCACACCAAGCGTTTCCCATAAACTTTTTGAAGATCTTTTTCCAAAACTGACCACAGCAATACTCTTCGTCCTACACACTTATCTATAACCTAGTCAATTCCCTATCAAGAGGTGGAGTCTAATTCTTCTCTCCTAGAATCTCGTGGGTTTGAGATCCGCTGGCAACCAGAAATGACCCTGTGGGACTTGCAATAATAGAGGCTGGTGCGGCTTCCCCCTAAGAGCAGCAGTACTTGTGCTGGAGGCCAAGGGAAAGCCCCAGGAGCCACTGTATGTAGGAAAGCTTCACCTAGACCCTATGCAGGAGTCCTGGGATTACCTGGAAAGAAGGGAGGAGAGAGGGGGAAGGGGAAGGGAAGGGAAGGTGAGGTGGGAGGCAGGGAGGATAGGAGGGAGGCAGGGAGGGAGGAGGGCTGCCCAGACAGCCCTTCCTTAAGAAACATGACTCACAGGAACTGTGAGAGAATACACAATGATCATTCTGTGAGCTGTCAAAGTGTGGGGGCACCTGTTACCCAAGAATGGATATCTGAACCACCGTGTGTGTGTGTGTGTGTGTGTGTGTGTTTGCCTAAAATAAGATGAAGTAACCACATAGCAATAGGAACCTAAAGTACTACTCTTAAAATTAACAGATAGAAAAATCAGATTCAAGCAACTTGCATTAAGAAATAAAGCATTTATCTAATGTCATGGATTTCAATAATTGCTCTTTCTCACAAGAACATGGTCTTTATTATCTTAAGATGATTAAGAAAGCTACTAGTTCTTGAAATCTCAGGAGTTTTTTAAAAAAAGTACTGTGTACGTAGTATCAAAAGTTATCATCAAGCAGACGTTCCTGTAACAACCATGCTACTTCTCACATTGCAAAGCTTGGAGGTCCAAAAGGAAAGGTGCTAAAATATCAAGTATGTAAACTTTTACCTATGGAGATGTGCCTGGAGGTTCCCAGAAAGCAATACATGATCACAGGATAAAACGAAGAGTACAGGCCAAACACGGGAGGCACAGCTGCCAGCATCGCGAACGCCAAGCCTGCGGGATTCAAAAGCACAGATACGGGAAGATCATTAGAAAACAGGGCCGGGGTGGGGGGGTCCACGTTTTCTTCTTCTCGGTTCTCTAACTCGGATGGCCACGTGGAGCCCGTTTAGATTTAGACCAATGTGTCCGAGCTTCTTGCTCTTCCACGGCTGTCCTGCATGGCTCCTGCATCTGTGGGCAAAGTCCAGGCTGAGAGGGTTTTCTCGGCCAGCTGCTCTGGGCCAGTGGGTGGAATATTTTCTTGCTTTATTCTCTCACAAATTAGGTAAGAGCCTAAAAGTCTTAGTGAATGGGTGTGGTTGTGATCTGGACATCCTATTGCAGCATTCCTTGCCCTACATAGCAGCGCCTCCACCTCACTCATGGATTCCTCTCTCTGCCTCTTTATTAGAAGGTAGTCTTCCATTTTCTTGCCACTGCTATATGCTCAACCTGTAGGCAGAATTCTCGGGCAGGCACTTTTGATGGGAGCCAAGCCTGGTTACCTTGCAGGGTGCCCACTCACCTAATGGGAAAGCCTGGCATTTGCACCTGAGGACATTTAGGCAGTTTGGTTCCACTCTGGGGAGGACTATCTCTTCATTATGCTGTCACGGGTAGTTCTTCTCATCCTTGACCGACAGACTTCCATCTTTTAATGGATGTTATTTTTTTTTAGAGCATTTGTAGGTTCACAGCAAATTGAGCGGAGGCACAGAGATCTCCTGCCTATACTACCCCTATGCTCACATGGCTTCCCCCATCCATCAGTACCCCCAACCACGGTGGTCTGTTTGCTACATCATCACTCAAGGTCCAGAGTTTGCAACAGGGTCCACTCTTGGTGGTGCATGTTCTGTAGGTTGAAAGATTTCACTGTTGATGGTGGAATTTCCACATAATTACACAGGGACAGGGAGACTCCATTCCAGCACCAGAGAGGAGATTCACTGTCCTAAACGTCCTCTGTGCTCTGGCTGCTCATCCCTTCCTCCCTGCAAACCTGGGCAACCATCCATCTTTTATGATTATTATTTTTATTTTTTTATTTATTTGACAGGCAGAGTTAGACAGTGAGAGAGAGAGACAGAGAGAGAGGTCTTCCTTCTGTTGGTTCACCCCCCAAGTGGCTGCTACGGCCGGCGCTTTGCCGATCCGAAGCCAGGAGCCAGGTGCTTCCTCCTTGCCTCCCATGTGGGTGGCAGGTGCCCAAGCACTTGGGCCATCCTCCACTGCCCTCCTGGGCCACAGCAGAGAGCTGGACTGGTAGAGGAACAACCAGGAATAGAACCCAGTGCCCATATGGGATGCCGGCGCTACAGGTGGAGGACCAACCCAGTGAGCTACGGCGCTGGCCCATAACCATCCATTTTTTTTTTTACTGTCTCCATAGCTTTGCCTTTTCCAGAAAGTTGAATGGTTGGAATCATATAGTCTGCAGCCTTTTCACACTAGCTTCTTTCACTTACTGAGATGCATTTACATTTCCTTGTTTCTTTTTATTTTTTAAATTAAATTTTATTTGAAAGTCAGAATGACAGAGCAGGAGAGGCAGATAGAGAAAGAGATCTACCTACTGGTTCAATCCCCAGATGGCCACAGTGGCCAGGGCTGGGCCAGGCCAAAGCCAGGGACTCCATCTGGGTCTCCCACGTGGGTGGCAGGGACCCAAGCCCTTGAGCCATCTTCTGCTGTTTTCTCAGGTGCATTAGGCAGGGGGTTGGACTGGAAGTGGGGTGGCGGGGTGGCGGGATGCTGGCATGGCTGGCAGCAGCTAAACCCACTGCACCACAATGTCAGCCCCTCCTGTCTTTTTAGCATTAATTTTCTTTTGTCTGGGTGTATCACAGCTTATTTATCCATTCACCTGAAGCATGTCTTGTTTGCTTTCAAGGTTTGACCATTACGAGTAAGGCTGCTGTAAGCACGCAGGGGCAGGTTCACTTCAGAGTTGTTTTTAACAGATGTTACTGTTTAAGGGCAGTCAGAGACTTTTCCTGCGGGGATTAGGAGTTCTCATCCCAGACGGCCCTCATACGCCGTTGGAGTGATGCGTTCCAGAGAGAGCACTGGTGTCACTGACTCACAGTTGTGCAGAGATGGTCTGGACGTGCAGGCACAAATGCCCTTTGTTCTCCACCGTGGGGACTCAGGACAGCCAGGAAACACTCTTAATGTGCTGTTAGGCTGGGAAGAAAACACCTCTAGCCAAAGAGAAGTTGGGAAAATATCCCTGTTTCATATGTTCACTCTAATGCCTTTAAAATTTTTTTGTTTCTAGCAAAGAAACACGCAGGCACTCTTCTGCCTCCTGCCCTCCCTCCAGGTGCTGCTCCCTTCTTTGGTGGTTGCTCTGCCCTCTATCTCCATTTTCTGACATCTGGGATGGACACTGCTGCTGATCACGGTGGGGGCGGGAGGTGGCCCTGCACTTGGCGTCGAGGCCAGGATGCTACTAAACATCCTACAATACGTACCTGGTGCGGTGCTGGGAAACCCAGTTCCTAGTAACACGAGGATAGTGCTGTTTCTCATTTTTATCAACTTTAGACATAAGCTGTTAACTTTCTATTACACCCATCATTTCAGTACCACATCAGTTATTTTGTAATTAGATGCGTTGTTTTCTTTCTAGAAAGCTTGGGAACTTTCCTTTACCCCTGGTATTCTCTCACTATAGCGTGCATTGTTTCTGAGTTCTCCTTCATATATTCTGCTGGGTACTTAATGACTTTCTTTGGTCTGAAAATCTGGGCATTTCAATGACAGGAATTATTCTTTAGTGGCTTCCTCCTTTCTGTTTCCCTGCTTTCTTTCTTTCTGGAAGTCCTACAGGAAACAGGCCAGAGCACCAGGGCTGAGCCTCTGATATTCTCATTTGTTCTCTTCTTATTTATGGATTTATGTTTCTCTCTTCCAGCAGAGTTCTCCTTTATCTTCCAATCCTCCAACCAAATATCTGATTGTAGCTGTCATAGTTACAATTTTTATGGGCTATTATTCTTTGAATGCTCCTTACTTTTTTTTTTTTCTCTTAATTTGAAAGGCAGAGTTAGGGAGGGAGAGGAAAGAGAGAGAGATAGTTGTCTCTTCTATCCGCTATTCACTCCCCAAATGGCCACAACAACAAGGGCTGAAACATACAAAAGCCAGAAGCCAAGAGCTTTATCTGGGTCTCCCGTGTGGGTGCAGGGGCCCAAGCACTCGGGCCTTCTTCCATTCCTTTCCCAGGTGCATCAGCAGGGAGCTGGATGGGAAGTAGAGCATCCAGGACACATAGGGGATGCTGCCATTACAGGCAGAGGCTTAATCTGCTGTACCACAATGCTAGCTCTACCTTTTTTCCTTTTTTAAGTTTATTTTAATTTTATTTGGGAGGAGAGGGGAGAAGAGACAGGGGGGAGCTTCTATCCACCTATTCACTCCCCAAATGCCTGCAAGAGCTGGGACTGATCAGGGCCACAACCAGAAGCCAGGAACTCCGTCTGGGTCTCCCTCATGAGTGGCAGGGGCCCAAGCTTTGGGGCCAACATTCACCACCCCCGAGAGTCTGCTTTAGCAAGAAGCTGGATAGGAGGCCAAGCCAGGACTTGACCCCAGGCACTCTGAGATGGGATGCATGCTGTGTGACAATGCCATCATTCTCTGTTACTTCCATTCCTGATGAGTTCCTTTTTTTCCTGTGTGGTTTGGTTTCTTTCTTTCTTTCTTTCTTTCTTTCTTTCTTACTTACTTACTTGAGAGGCAGAGTTACAGACAGAGGGAGAGAGAGAGAGAGAGAAAGAGATCATCCATCCACTGGTTCACTCCCTAAATGGCCACAATAGCCAGAGTTGGGCCAGTCTGAAGCCAGGAGCCTGGAGCTTCTTCTGGGTCTCCATGCAGGTGCAGGGACCCAAGCATTTGAGTCATCTTCTGCTGCTTTCCCAGGTGCATTAGCAAAGAGCTGGATCAGAAGTGGAGTAGCTGGGACTCAAACTGGTGTCTATATGGATGCCAGTGCCGTAGATGGATGCTTAACCTACTGTAGCACAGTGCTGGCCCTTGGTTTCTTTCTTGAAGCTTCAAGTGCACAGCCCACGTCGTTTTCTGATGGGCCTTGCTGGGTGTCCAGCCAGCATCCTTCCTGGGGGACTTCCAGCTGTCACTCCAGGTCTTTTCTCTGGGGGAGTTCACCAGCTGCCTGGGCTCTAAGTCTTTCTGCAGGCACTGGAAGCTGAGCAGGGAGAGGGAACAGTCTTTGAAGGCGCACAGCCCAGCATGCAGACTTTCACCGATTCCTCCTCACAGCCCCAGTACCCGATCACACGGCATATGGCTGACAACCTGAGCGTCCACGCGTGCCTTATCAGATGAGACTTCCAACAAGGCCCTTGCTGTCAGCTTCTGCCTGGCTCCCAGCTTTGACAACACCAGGAGCCTCCAGTCCCCCAGGGCTCTGGACGAAGGCTCCCAAGTCTCAGCTTCCTCTGCTCTGATTCACCAGTCACTTGCCCAGTTGCTTGCCATTGGTTTTCCTCTGCTTCACTGTGTCTGTTCTTTCATTTTTTCTGTCCTTGATTAATGAGGGGCCAAAAAATACCAGTTTGATAAAACTTTTATTTATTGAAAGGCAGAGTCAGAGAGAGAGATGGATGGGAATGGGGAGAGGGAGAAAGGGAAGGAGAGTGAGAGAGTGAGAGTGATACAGACAGCGAGCTCATTCAGAGCTAGATCTGAAGTGGAGCAGTCGGGTCTCGAACCAGTGCCTGCTTGGGTTGCCGGAGATGCAGCCAGGCAGATTAAATCATGGTGCCACAACACCAGCCCCTAGGCTTTACTTTTGGATGTTTGACTACAGGGATGGTGTTGTGGCACAGAGGGTAAAGCTACTGCCTGTGACACTGTCATCCCATATGGGTGCTGGTTTGAGACCTGGCTGTTCTACTTCTGATCCAGCTCCCTGCTATTGCACCTGAGAAAGCAGTGGAAGATGGCCCAAGTGCTTGGGCCCCTGCATCCACATGGGAGATGTGGACAGACTTCCAGACTCCTGCTTCAGCTTGGTCCAGTCCTGGGTATTGGAGCCATTTGGGGAGTGAATCAGTGGATGGAAGATCTCTTGGGTTTTTATTTATTTGAAACAATTATACAGAAGAAATCCTTAAAAAACAAACAAGCAAACAACAGAGACCTAAATGGGCCTCTGTTTACCGCACATCGTATTCTTTGAATGGTCAGTTAGTGGCAGGAGGCCAGGCAGGAGCTTAATAATCACATACTGTCTCCATGAATAAATTAATGAGTATTTGAGCCCTTACATTACCTATAAAACCACAGAGTTGTAAAGAAATTTGGTTCATCATGGTCCCTTGTCGTTAAAATATGGAATTAGAGGTCAAGAACCCGGGGCCGGCACTGTTGCACAGCAGGTAAAGCTGCTCATGACACTGGCATCCCGTATGGGTGCTGGTTTAAGTCCTAGTCGCTCCACTTCTGACCCAGCTCCCTGCTAATGTGCCTGGGAGAAAGGAAGTGGAAGATGGTCCAAGCGTTTGTGACCCCGCCACCTATGTGGCAGACCCGGATTAAGCTCCTGGCTTCAGCCGGGCTCAGCCCTGGCTGTTGTGGCCACATTGGGAGTAAACCAGCAAATGGAAGATCTCTTGTCTCTTTGTAACTCTTTCAAATAAATAAATCTTCTTAAGTCAAGAACTTAAGAACCACCACAAACTGTTGACTGTCTGAATGACCTGATAAGAGGCAAGATAATACACAACCAGTGTACTGATCCACAAAACAGCACCATCATTTTTCACTATTAATATCCCTAGGGATTTTTGCTTGAGATTATTTATTTATTCTCATTTCATCTCAATGGCAGAGAGAGGTGGGGGGAGGGAGAGGGAGAGGAAGGGGGAGAAGGGAGGGGCAGAAGAATTGTTTTTTTCTTCGCTGGTTTACTCTTTAAATTTCCCAAATAATTAGAGGTGGGTCAGGCTGAAGCCCTAGCAAAGAACTAAACCCAGGTCTTCCATGTGGATGGCAGGGACCCAAAGACTTGAGCCACCATCTGGTGCCTCCCAGGGCGTGCATCAGCAGGAAGCTGGATTGAAAGTAGGGCGGCTGCGGCTTGAACCAAGCACTCCAATATGGGATGCAGGTGGCCCAAGTAACAACTTACCTGTTGTGCCATATGTCAATCTCCCTGGGGCTTTTTATAAGGTAAACATTTCTAAAGCATTCCTTTATGCAGGTGATGGTTAATAGAATGGTGTGATAAGAATCTATGGGTTTTTGGGTGGATGTTAGGCATAGCAGGTACTGATTCCCATAGTCAAGTCCCTGGGCTCGAGTCTAGGCTCTACCTTCAATCTAGTGTCCTGTTCAGGCATACCACAGGTAAGAGCAGGTGATGGTTCAAGCATTTAGATCATCGCCTTCCACGTGGGAGACCTGAATGGAGTTCCAAGCTCTTGGCTTCAGCCTGACCCAGCCCTGACTGTTGTGGGTATTTGGGGAGCGAACCAACTGATTGAAGATCTCTTTCTGTGCTCTTCAAGTAAAATAAATAGCACGTAAAAAAGAAGCTACACCTGGGGCCGACACAGCAAGATAACGCCCTGGCCTGAAGTGCCGGCATCTTCCAATCCAGCTCTCTGCTATGGCCTGGGATAGCAGTGGAAGACAGCCCAAGTCCTTGGGCTCCTGCACCCACATGGGAGACCTGGAGGAAGCTCCTGGCTTCAGATCGGTGCAGCTCCGGCCATTGTGGCCAGGAGATGGAAGACCTCTCTCTCTGTCTCTACCTCTCTCTGTAACTCTTTCAAATAGATAAATCTATTTTTTTTTTAAAAAGAAGCTACACCTTAGTATCTTAAACAAAACAAAGCAAAAATCCACTGCACCTGCAATGATGATAGAATAAACGGAAACAAGGTCAAGTGACTGTGTGAGGAGACAGTGGCAAGTGTTCCACTAACCTTGAGGAAGCTGCAGCACCCCCGTACTTATGCCCGAGACCAAGTCACCCAACACGTACTCCTTGAATTTGTACGCTGGTAACCACTTAGTTATGGGTAGGAACATATAAATGATATTCCTTATTTTCTTGGGAGTACATCTAGAAGGACAAAGACAGAGAGAAAGGTGTAAATGGGGAATGTCTCTGCACGTCACACCCACGCATTCTCCCTCCCTTCCTCAGACCCAGCAGTGACGATGCTAAAGTCTGCAATCAGCTTATCCCCTCTGAAACTCCGCTGGGGTTTGGTTCCTGCTGAGAGGCAGTAAGTGGGTTTGAAGGTGGGCAGGTACAGGTGAGGTCAGCAGGTGCAGCACCCATGACTGACACTGGAGAGAGAGAGAGACCACAGACACCTGTGTGTGCCCCTGTCTCACCTTGGGAGGCCCTGCAAGAGGGTCTCATCCCTTGGGCCACCACAACCACGGACCGAACAGAGAGCCTCTTGGACTTAGAATGTGCCCCGTCTTGTGTTAGCAGCAACAGAAAACACACTAAGACGAGCAACAAGGACAAGTTCACAATTGGTGATTCTGGATGCTACTCCATGGGGTGGGAGTCCAGAGTGCAAACCAGAGACACAGTGGCTGCAGCATCACTGGGAGGCCGAGCGAAGACGTGGGTACTTGAAAGGGAAACAGAAAGGGGGTTGCTTGTGTAAACCTTTACTAGGGGGTGGAGAACATCTGGCCTGTGGGTCAAACAAGGCCTGCAAAATCATCTGGTGTAGACCTGCTAAGGCAACCAGACAGGACTTGAAATCCAACACATCTATGGCAGGCTGTTTTTTAAGTTGCTAATGTTGTAGGAGCCTGTGAATGATGCTGTCAATACCCAAATAGCCCTTGTTAAGAAAAAAAAAAAAATCCCCCACTCCTGCTTTACGCAGATGTAAGGCACAGTAGGAATCCAACATACATGGTCAGATACATACCTACGTTCAACCCCGTATCTAACCCTGGCTGAACGGCTGCGGACGGCTTTGCAAATTGCAGATGCTGCCCGTTCGTTTCGTCTCCACATCACCTAACAGATCTCCGCCTCCCACCTGGCTCATGGCATCACCGCACAGTATGGGAAAGGAGGCAGGCTGGGGGCCGACATACGTGAATGCCTGCTTCAGCTTATCCCCGATGGAGTCCGCAACCTTGTCCTTCTTGTGCAGCCTTTCCTGGAGGACGGGATGGCTGAAGATGGGCCTTTCCACGCAGTACCTCTGGGCGGCCGCCAGGGCCTCACTGTCTTCCGCATGATCCATCGTCCTCTGACATCAGTCATCAGCGGCAGGAGACAAGCATTGCGGAGCGTCACTAAGCGAGGAGAGAAAACTCTGTTTTAGATGCCAAAGTCTTCCTGCCAACCGCCCCCTGGCCGCTCTTCCTTGTGGTGCCCCGAGTTCTCCTGAGGACTTCTTTAGTCACCCCAGGGCACCTTCCACCCTGTCCTCTAAACAGTAAGCACAGAGAACTGAAACGAAACCAGGATCGAGAAAAAGAGTAAACGTGACTTCTTCCTTCCCAGGGCGCTAAGTGAGTAATAGGGTTTGCTTTTCATAAAATCTCGCAAGCTGAGGGGCTGAACACTGCAGCCAGGGCCTCTGGTTCCAGGTAAGCGGAACTGCAAAGCAGGCCAACTCCAACTAGCTCTCTAAGAAGAGAACAGAAACGAGGCTAGGATCAATCCTCAATTGGGACCTCAAGTTTCCTGATGGTTTATTAGTCTCCTTTTCTGACTCTGAATTTATGGTTGATGACTTCCTTTTTTTTATTAAATAGCATTTGTATTTTTTTTTAAGATTTATTTTATGTATTTGAAAGACAGAGTTACACAGAGAGAGGTAAATACAAAGCCAGGAGCCAGGAACTTCTTCTGGGTCTCCCACGCGGGTGCAGGGGCCCAAGGACTTGGGCCATCTTTTACTGCTTTCCCAGGCCATAGCAGAGAGCTAGATTGGAAGTGGAGCAGCCGGGACTAGAACCAGCACCCATACGGGATGCCGGCGCTTCAGGCCAGGGCTTTAACCCACTGCGCCACAGCGCCAGCCCCTGATGACTTCTTAAATCATCCTATGGTTCAGAACCGAGGCTCGTATGACTCCGTGAGGGACGTCCCTGGTGACATTTGCAGAAGGCTATAGTTAAAAACATTAGTGCAACTCTGTACTCTATCATATTGTTCTAAAGCTGATGATGTTGCAAGGAGATACACTGTAAAAACTGTTGGTAATTCTTTTTCATGCTACATAGTGAATACCACTTATATAAGTGAAAGAAAAGTTCAACATGTCTACGCAGATGAAAGTGTATACAGGAATGTTCACAGTAGCTATATGATTGTAAAATTTTTGAAAAACACCTCAAGTGTCTACACATATACAATAAAACACATTTTAGCATTTTAATAAACTGAACACTATATAGTATTTAAAAAACAAACTAAATCTGTAGGTGTCATCAATAAGTCTCCAAAGCTTGATTTTAAAGAAAAATACAGGGAACAGGTATTTGGCTTGGTGGTTAAGATGCCCACATCCCAGAGTGCCTGGCATGGACAGCTGCCTCTCCTGATTCCAGCTTCCTGCCAGTGTAGACCCCGGGAGGCAGCAGGTGATGGCTCAAGTGGATGGAACGGTTCCTGCCACCTACATAGTTCCTGGCTACTGGCTCTGACCCTGGCTGTTGTGGGTCTGTGGGCAATGAACCAGCAGACAAGAGCTCTGTCTCTCTCTGCCTCTCAGATAAATAGAATCTTAAAGTCAATTAAAAAATGTAAGGCATAGGGGAATACTTACAGAATGCAATTAACCAAACAAGAGTTTAAAAACTTACAAAGCAGTTGTATACATTGTTTTAGATACATAGACACCTCATAAAAGTATCAGAGCATTGATAATAATAATAAACACTAAGACCAAGATGTTGTTACCTCTGGAGAGAAGGAGAAAAGACCGCCAAGGGTTAGTCACAGCTTCAACTAACTACAACTGCAATGATTTAATCTGTTAAAAAAACTGGGCAGGGGCCAGCGCTGTGGCTCACTTGGTTAATCCTCTGCCTGCGGCACCGGCATCCCATATCATTTGGCTAGATCATGACTGTTGATAATGTACACCACACTTCTTCTCTGATATTTCATATTACAGAAGTCTGCCTAAATTTTCAAAAAATTATTTTTTTCTGGACTTCTCCTCCTTGATCTTCTGTCTTCTGCCAGGAAGGTCATGTCCTCCTTCTTACGGCCCCTCAGAGATAGAAAGACCCTCATGAGGGAGCTCTAATGAGAATGCAGCTCTGATTTTTCTCCTGTTGCAAAAACTCACTTTGATTTTACTGTTATCCACATGAATTTGCTCAGCAGTCAACAGGATGAATTATGATGACCACTGTGAAGCAATGGTGTCCATCTACGAGACAGAGGGGACCAACCCTTGCCAGTTAGCGCCACGGTCTGGGGAAAGCATCGGCTACTGGTGCCAGGGAGTGATTCTGAATGGATTCCTAATGGATTAGGAATTTCCAGAGTGGTGCCTGGATGGACAATGGACATTCACTTGGTGTGGGCAGCAAATGTCCCTGCATCCAACTATGTAGTTAGACATTCTGATTTTTTTAATTAAAAAAATTTTCATTTTATTTGAAAGGCAGACAGAGATGAAAAGAGACATTCAGGAGGGAGATAAAGAGGGAGAAAGAAACACCTTCCATTGGTTGGTTCATGCCTCACATGTCTGTGATGCCTAGGACTGGGCCAAGCCCAAACCAGGAGCCAGGAGCTCCACCCAGGAAGTGACCCAAGTATTCTGTGCCATTAAAGCTATCTCCAAGAGTGTGCATTAGCAGATAGCTGGATTGGAAGAGCCAGGACGTAAACCAGGCCCTCCAATCTGGGGTGCAGGAATCTAAGCAGCAACTTCAGTGCTGCATCAAACACCCATCTTAATTTTCATTCTCAGAGGTTGCTTGGCTAGGGGCCAGCACCGTGACACAGGTTAAGCTGCTGCCTGTGATGCTGGCATCACATCTGAGTGCAGGTTCAAGTTCTGACTGTTTTGCTTCCAATGCAGCTCCCTGCTAATGCACCCGAGAAAGCAGCTGAAGATGGTTCAAGTGCTCAGGCTCCTGCTGCCCATATGGAAGACCAGGATGGAGCTCCAGACTCCTGATTTCAGCCTGGCCCAGCCCTCACCACTGAGGCCATTTGGGGAATCAACTCGTAGATGGAAGATTGACCTCTCTTTCTCTCTTTTTGTATTTTCCTCTCTCTCTCTATTGTTCTGCCTTTCAAATAAATAAGTAAATTAAAAATAATTTGGCTATTCCCAACATCAGTAATCCCTCATTTATACACATTCATGCAAAAGGCACTTATCACCCCCCTTATGTATTCTCCTAGATCCTCACAGTTCCTTCTATGCAGGTTTAAAAAATCCCCCAGGACATTAAGATGATCTGCCAGGTAGGTACTAGACATATATAAAGAGACTGGCTTTCATCTCTACCTAAACCCAGAACCTCCCCAGGTACTAAAAACACCATCAGAGGGGTGGGTGTTTAGCCTAGCAGTTAAGACACTTGAACACTTCAGAACACCTGGGTTGCTCCAGGAGTTCAGAGACCTGGACTGTGTTCCTGCCTCTTAGCTTCCTCCTGGCCCAGCCCCTGCCACTGTGGGCATTCTGAGAGTGACCTGGTAGGTGGGAGTTCTGTCTGTCTCTCAAATAAATTAAAAAGAAACAAGCCCCCCAAACCCACTTGGGCCTGGGTCCCATACCACAGCCTCCAGGACATGCACCCAGGTATCTGTTTTAAAAGCATCCTAAGACAATCCCAAAGACCAGCGCAAGTGGAGAAGCAGTGGTTTATGTCCTGAGACAGAGAAATACATATGGAAAAGACATGAGAAAATAAAAAAGGAGCATCTAAAATGATGATGACAGGCTTTCAGGAATTTAGAAAATCAGTGACACAATTAAAGCCAGATAAGATAACTTCTAAGAAGAGTAAATCTTCTAATATGAGATATGGTATAATACAGTAAGGTCAGACAAAATAATAAATAATCAATATGCTATAGCTGGAAGCCTCCCCTAGAAATGCCCATATCCCATATGGTATGCTACAATTCTACTGCTTAATGAAGAGTACACAAAGTAGTTCTGAAGAGGAATTTCAAATGTAAGGAAACTGATTTAGCAGTAAAAATGCATCTCTGGATTTGCCATTTTCTCTTGGGGCATTGGCTCTCAGCACTGGCTGCACAGAAGAGTTCCCTGGGTAGCTTTAAATATTGCTGGGGCCAGATACTGCCAGAGATTGAGTTAATTGGTCTGGGAAGCCAGCAGGGACTGAGAGTTTAAGAAGCTCTCAGGGATTCTCTGGCCGGCACCGTGGCTCACTAGGCTAATCCTCCGCCTAGCGGCGCCGGCACACCAGGTTCTAGTCCCGGTCGGGGCGCCGGATTCTGTCCCGGTTGCCCCTCTTCCAGGCCAGCCCTCTGCTGTGGCCAGGGAGTGCAGTGGAGGATGGCCCAGGTGCTTGGGCCCTGCACCCCATGGGAGACCAGGAAAAGCACCTGGCTCCTGGCTCCTGCCATCGGATCAGCGCGGTGCGCCGGCCGCAGCGCGCCGGCCGCGGCGGCCATTGGAGGGTGAACCAACGGCAAAGGAAGACCTTTCTCTCTGTCTCTCTCTCTCACTGTCCACTCTGCCTGTCAAAAAATAAAAAAAAATAAAAAAAAAAAGAAGCTCTCAGGGATTCTCTTGTGTAGTCAAAGTTCAAAACCACTACCTTAGGAGGTGGCAAAAGGAAGGCCCATACCCACCCACATAAACAAACAAAAAGAAGGTCATTGCATGGGGTGCACAGACATTGTGTACTACATTACGATCTTCACTTACTGGGTCCCTGAAATATTTAATAAAAGTTACAAGAGAGAGAAATACTTAGCATGAGTGTCTCCATTAAAGTCTTTTTACTAAGCTCATACTGACACAACAAAAGGCAGCTGGGTCCAAGTGGACAGGGCTACACGCACTGTACTCCCAGCAAACACAGCTCCAAAGTCACAGCCATTTCACTGAAGGTTTAAATCAGGAGCAAGTCTCAAAGAAATTGAGATCTCGGAACATCAGATGGACTTGGTGATCCTGTGTACACCCCCTGTAGGGTTGCTGGAGAAGAACAGGTGGTCTACTTAAATTTGAAGGTCACATAGGCAACACATGATTGTGGATTTCATGTGTTGTAGTAAAAATTTTTTCTTTGTCTCCCTCTGAGTATCTTCTATTTTTCTATGCTAAACCTGACAACCC